GAGATCGAACGATCTGGCGGGCAGCCCGCGATTCAGTCGGATTCGATCGATGCTCCTGCGCCCGTGACGTCCAGGACGATACCGACGCAGGTTCAGTCGCCCGTCCACCACGTCTTGGCCTCCGCTCCGACACTAAAAGCGGCCCTGTTGTGCCTCCACGTCAAGCGCGCTTTTCGAGTCCCGACGTTCGCCCTCGTCCTGCGCTGTCACTTGTCGATAATCTCTACATATTCACCTGCATCGCTGTCCATCCTTTTTTAACTCTAATAAAATCCAATCCCTCTCTTCTTTACCTTCATCTTCACCCTCCGGTCGCGTTCTTTTTCTTTTCTCGCCATATCGGTCGCGTCTCCTCTTTCCCTCCAACCCCCCCTTATCCCGACCGTTAGGAGTCCCGCTATCGGCGACGAGGTAGTACAGCGATGATGATGGCGCAGCCGTTTCCTGCCCATCAAGGCATCCCGCAACATCATGGCCTTCCTCCGGGTCATCCGCTGGCCGCTGTTCAACACCCGAATGCCCATCCCGGGGCAGGAATGGTTCAACAAGTTCACCCCGGAGTGTCGGCGTCGGGCGGACCTCAAGTCACCCAGGGCGGACCGGTGATGGGCGGGATGCCTCCTGGTGCAGGAACGACTGCCCCTGGAGGTCCGGTTCAGGCCCATGCACTTTCTCATTTGGGACCTGCTCAGGCCCATCTGTTCCAACAGCCGCATTTTGCTCAAAATTGTAAGTTGTCTCGCTCGCCCGCGTTGCCTCTCCCGCACCTCCAAAACAGCGGTCACCTTTTCCGCCCGCCACGCCACGCCAATGAACTAACGCCTTGTTGTCTCTAGTTGCCAACAACCCTCAACTTTTGCAGCAGCACCAGCATCAGCAGCAACAAATCATTAGACAGCGAATGATGTATCAACAGCAGCAGCAACAGCAGCAGCAGCAGCAACAGCAACAGCAACAACAACAGCAACAGCAACAGCAGCATGGCGGACTTCCGGTTTCGTTACCTAACGGCACCCAGGGCATCAACGCCGCCCAATTCGCCGCTATGCAAGCCAATCAGGGGATGCGACCGGTGAATTTGCAGATGCAACTCCAGCAAATGCCTCATGGACAGCCGCAGAACATTCCCCAGCAACATATCTTTGCGATGCAACAGGCCCAGCAGGCACAACAGGCCCAGCAGGCCCAGCAGCAGGCGCATCAAGCGCAGCAGGCCCAGCAGCCCAATGCCGCCGGACAGCCGGGACAGCATACCCCTCAGCAGCGGGCATCGGCTCAACCCCAGCCTGTACACGATGCGCAAAGCGTCACTCCCCAGCCGCAACCCGGCCCGCCGCCTCACCAGGGTAGTAGCACGCCCCAGTCGCAGCCGCCGCAGCTGCCGGCTTCTCAGCCGCCCCCTCAGCAACCCGTCGCTCCTCAGCCTCAACCCACCCCCAACCCGCCACCTCAGCAATTGCCTCAGTCCCAGCAACCGGGTCCGCAACCCCAGCAGCCGCAACCCCCTCAATCGCAGCCGCAACCGCAGCCAGGTCAACCGGGCCCGCAGGGCCAACAGCCCGGTCAACAGCCCCAGCAGCCGATGACGGCCCAGGAGGCCCAACTCAAGGCTCAGCAACAACAGCAGCAGCAGAACAATGCCGCCATGATGATGCAGCAGCGCATAGGCATGAAGGGCGCCACGATCCTATGTCTCAGCAATTTCGCCGAACACCTGAGCAATTTCACTGTATGTTCACTTTCACAATGAGGAAGGAGGGTTCATTGCGACCGACCGGATGCTAACCTATTCGCAGAGCCGCGGCGAGGCCTTTGATCTGCCCTACTGGAACTCCTTCGTGGAGCGATTTTATTCGCCCAACGGTGTCCTCCGCCAAGGCGTGTACAACACGCAGTCTGGCTCGAAGCAGTTCGAGATTGCGACGCCAGCTCTCGCGCGCTACTATCTGACGCAATTCACCAGCGGCATTCGACAAATTCAAATGGTTGTCGAAGCCGCTCGGGAGAGGGACTCGCCTAATGGAGGCCACATCGTAGAGAGCACCAAAACGTCGTTTATCTATTGGTTCGCAAATGGCGCCCAAGTAAGTTTGAAATTTGCACCAGCTTGCGCGATGTTCATTGTTGGTTAACAAAACTCAGCTTTTCACCAACGGGACACTGAGAGCCCACTTCGATATGAGCAACAAGATCGAAATGCTTGACATTGTGGTCATGAACCACACCGAGTATCTTCCTCGGAGTCAGTTGCAGCCGTTAGAATCGCCCGATCTGAAGCAGAGCCCCAAGGTCTCTAAAAACATGGGCAAGCGCGGTCAGGCCAAGCAGCCTCCGCAACCCCAAATCCAGCTGCCCGAGTCGGTGGTAACGCCAGATGGTGTTCCTACTGCTGTGATGAGCTTCCTCGAGGTAACCATTCCTTTCTCATGGTTTGTGGAATAGGACCTAACGAGAACCAGGTGGCCGAGACGATTTCGGCAATGCAAATGCTTTTCCAGTTCTCTCAGCAAAACCCGCAACTTTCTCCCCCCGATGCGCTGCGCAATTTGGTCAACACGTTGCAGATGCAGAATCCGAACCCCGGGTTCATGCCCAGCCCTATGAACCCTGCCATGCAGCAGGTGCAAAACCCGCGGGCACCCAGCATGGGCGGACCCAATCAGTTTGCCTCTCCGGCCATGGCTCACCTGGGACTGCCCGCCAACCAAGGATCCCCTCACCTGACTGGCTCGGCTCAGCCCAGCCCGGCGCAAAGCCATCTGGCCAGGCCGCCAGGGATGGTGCCTCCCGGTCAGATGCAGCCCAACGTCGGCCAAGGTAACAGCGCCAGCGCCAGTCCCAACGTTAACAACAAACGGCGGCGTGCCAGCACCGTGAAGATGGAGAACGACGACGGTGGTGCCCCCGAAGTGAACGGCGCTCCCGGCGCGGGCCCGAAAACCGTCAAGGCCAGTCCTCGAGTCGGGGGGAAGAGACAAAAGGGGACCAGCTAATCCGAGCCCCCATTCTTAACCTTAATATTTCTTTTTCACCACGATGCATCTTTCTTCTTTCTTTTTCAGTATTAAGAGGCGGGGAACTGGCGTATCTTTGGAAGATCATGCGAGGGGTTTCTCCATTCTCTCTTCTTTGTTGCTGATTCCAATTGGTACTTAGCATTATTGTTTCCCATTTCTTTGCTGGTTCATGGTGTCCATTGCGTTGGTTGGGGTGGTGCCGGATTAGACCCTACGAAGCTGGACGGCTTGTTGCCTGTGGGCTGTCAACTTGTCGTCCGCATGGTCGGTCCGACCACGATCGTCTCGCGTTGCAGTTTGGCTTTATTCGGAGTCCTTATGCCACGGTTTTTCCTTTACGCCCTCTTGTTGAGTCGTTGCGCTCGATTTCCAATAGCGAATACCGGTTTTTCCTTGCCGATTCTGGTGCGCTGTCTATTTTATTGATATCCATGTTCTACCATTGGCGACTGCTACGTTTTTGGCGTTGGATTCTTTGCTTTGCGTCTTCTGTGGAAATATACTGTTCTTATGCTCTATGTCACATGCCGAATGGAAGATTGATACGAGATGCTGATCTGTAGATTTCACTATAACTAGAACCAACACGATCTTAACTATATCACTAGAACCAAGACTATCTCTCTTATCGTGACACTTCCGTTCATGTCACCGTGGATCCCCGCCCCTCCAATCAGATGCCGCCGTCGGCAGTCTCCGTGAGCTCGGCGGAGAAGGTTTGCCGATACTTATTTATCTGCTCTCCGCCCCGCCATCCCTCATCTATTCTTATTCTGAACCCCCTCATCGTCTTCCCATCTTCCTAGACCAGCAATCCATATCACCACACCTCACCAAAATGGCCCACTCCCACTCCCACTCCCATGATGACGACATCAGTCACTCGCACGATGACTTCGGCGGCCACGGCCACTCGCACGAGATCCTCGATGGTCCCGGCTCGTATATCAACCGCGAGATGCCCCTCATCGAGGGCCGCGACTGGAAAGACCGTGCTTTTACCATTGGTATTGGAGGGTATTTCTTCACTTCCGGAGGGGAGAATTGATAACATAGCCCAAGCTAACCTACCTGGTCCTATCCGATAGCCCCGTTGGATCCGGAAAGACAGCCCTCATGCTGGCCTTGTGTCATGCGCTGCGCGACGAGTATAACATTGCCGCTGTGACGAACGATATCTTTACCCGGTTCGCTTTCCCCCCACCCTCCCTACCAGAACGAATCCCATACGGACCCTAAATACTAACCAACCCTTCGAAAAAACAGCGAAGACGCCGAATTCCTCACCCGCCACCGCGCCCTAGCTCCCTCCCGGATCCGCGCCATCGAAACAGGAGGCTGCCCCCACGCCGCCGTCCGCGAAGACATATCCGCAAACCTCCTCGCCCTACAAACCCTCCAAAAGCAATTCTCGACCGACCTCCTCCTCATCGAATCCGGCGGCGACAACCTAGCCGCAAACTACTCCCGCGAACTAGCCGACTTCATCATCTACGTAATCGACGTGGCCGGGGGCGATAAAGTGCCCCGAAAGGGCGGACCGGGCATCACGGGCTCTGACCTGCTGGTAGTCAACAAGTGCGATTTGGCAGAGATTATAGGCGCCGATTTATCTGTGATGGAGCGCGACGCGGCGAAGATGAGAGAGGGCGGGCCGACGGTGTTCGCGGAGGTGAAGAATGGGAAGGGGATGAGGCATATTGTGGATTTGATTCTTAGTGCGTGGAAGGGGAGCGGGGCGTATGAGGAGAGTTTGGGACGGTGGAAGAATGGAGCGGCGAGGGGGTCGGGGAGCGTGGATGAGTAGATTTGATCTGATATAATATCGTAGGTGTGGATCTTATGTTGGATAACTATGGATATATGATTTCTGAAGGCGGTGCTCTGAGTAGGTATAGAAAGAAGGAGTATGAAAATTGTATATATGGACGAGAAAGTGTTGCTTGTACTGCTCAGTCTCAAGGATCCATTCGTATGACTCTTTCAGCAATCTGTCTTTTCCCCCTCCAATTCGTCCACATCGTACTGCGGATCGACCGTCTTGAGCTCTTGAAGACATTCCGCGTCCTTGTCTTCTTTCCGGGCTTCTATTTGCGATTTGTAGAAGTCTCGCAAAGTCATGTTTATCTCGCGAAGCTCCTGTTGCAGTTTGTTTCCATATTCCACAAGCTCAGTGAGTGCACTCTTCGAATGTTCCTTGCAATGCTGATTCGAATACTGCAAGACAACGCTTTCAGCATTCGTAACCTGGTTCAGTTCACCATCCCAGTCATCCCATTTGCCGATTTCGCGAAGAAATGTTAATCCTTGATTTCGGTAGTACGAGCAGACGCTCTTCATCTGGTACAGCAACAATTTCTTGAACAGCGCAATGATTGCCTGTCTTATTTGTCCTACGACGCTGTCGAATGATTGTTTCCCAACCGTAAGGCCGTCTTTACTCAGGAGATGATCGGACAGCGTGCAATACCACTCCATCCTTGAGCAAACTTAGGCGATTCCGTCACGATGAGGTGCTGTTGCTTCAGACGGATTATTTAAGATCTATAGTGATATTAATCATGTCAATGGATCGGAATGGGATGAATTGGAATGGGATGGATCTTACTTCTAAGCCTAAGCAAACACCTATAATGTGATCGACTCCTGCACGGCCACGATCCCCCCAGGCTTTACCACGCGCCGCATTTCCTTGAACGCCTGGACTGGATCGGCGATATGCTGCAGAACCTGGTGCGCATGGACAACATCGAAGCTGTTTCCGGGGAACAGCAGATCGTATATATCGCCGATGTGAAACCGGACATTGGTCAAGCCTGCGGAGCTGGCGAGCGATCGTGCTCCATCCAGTGGATCAGACACGTATTCTACACCCACGACATGTCCGCGGGGAACTTTTCGCGCCAGATCGATGGTGATAGAGCCTGGACCGCAACCAACATCAAGGATGGTCATGGTCGGCTGGAGATGAGAAAGAAGATAAGGTGCCGAATTACTGACATCGCGCCAGGAGTGTGTCTGTAGGACCGACTGGGAGTGGTCGTTCGTGTAGGCCTGAGACATCTTGCGGGATAGACTGAAATGCTAATAGTTTGAGAAGTTGGGGATGTATGTAGAAGGCGGAAGATATAGGCTGACCTAGTAGGCTCAACTCCGAATACTTCGGGGGCTCAACTCCGGAGGCGGCGAGATTCGCCATTTCGCCGAACTTTGAACAATTTATCGAAAAGGATAATAACCGGGGTCTCTATTTGTACTTCTGTGCCAGAGATTTTCTTTGGCCGCTTGAATGTTACCTTTGCTGTTGCCCGATTCGTGAGGCTACGTCGCATAGTAGAGAAGGAGTAAAGTATGTACTATACAAGGTTGATAATATTGCCCATGTCTAACTTTTAGCTGTATCCCAGTACAAAGTCCCGACGAACGCCGTAAATGCAGGTTTTCAGAGTCGTGAATAGAGTGTATGAGTGTTAATATGGATCGGGTATCGAAAGGCTCCTATCGTCTTGCAGACTGACGAAGCACACGAAAAGCGAATATCAAAGGAAAGTAGCGCACCAAGATCGAAGCAATTACATCTCCTTCTTGGCGAACCGTCCCAAAGCAGGTCCCAGCTCCTCTCGCTCGTTCTGCAGTCGGTTCTTCGCGCGCGACGCGTGCTCCTTGCGCAGCATCTCCGCCTTGACGCGTTTGTCGTCGATGACGTTGCGTCGGCCCTTCTTGCGCATGTACTTGCGCAGGGCGCTGTTGCGACCGCGACCGCGGTTCTTGAGCTTCTCCATGGGATCCTCGGGGCGGCGGTCGAGATCGCGCTCTTCCCGGTTCTTCTGGTCGCTGATCGTGTCCAGCTTTCCGACGATGTTGGGGTCCAGCGAGATCATGTCGGGCTTCAGCTTGTGCAGCAGACCCTTCACTTCGGCTTCCTGGCGCTGGCGCGTGTTTTCGTAGGGGTTGGCCTCGAGGGCGTCGAAGTTAGGTTCACCAGCGCCGGGCACCAGGATGCTGGCGAATCCCTTGTCGTGCGTCACACCCAGCACATCCTCGAACGGGCACCAGCGCATGTTCTCGATGCGTTGGCCGTCGCCGCCCCAGGACATATACGGGCTCTGCACCTTGCCTTGGTCGGCCACGGCGGCGTCGAACAAGCCGCGCCACACGCTGACCTGCGTGCCCCAGCCGACGGCCGTGAGGTTGCGGTCACTGATGGCGACTGAGGCGCCCGGCTGGTAGCAGGAGTAGGAGTGGACCTCGCGGAACATCCGAATATCCCACACGTTCATCTTGAGATCCTGGCCCGTCGACACCATGTACCGGCCTTGTCGGTCAATGGCCATTGAGCGCACCGGGCCGCGGTGGACCAGCGCCTTCACCAGCGCCGTCTGCGAGTTGGGCGACCATAGCGTCACGTTTCCGTTCTGATGACCGACATGCAGGATGGCGTTCCAGGGGTTCTGGCAGAGAGAAGTAGGAGCGCCCATGCGGGTGGGCAATTCGGCCACCATCTGGCCGGTGGAGGTATCGGTGTACTTGAGGTGACCACTCATTTGCTAGAAAGAAATCGTTAGATCATCCGGGGCAACATCTAGCCATGGAGGTGAAATGATTACCGTGCTCGCGAGAAGGAAGTGGTAGGGCAGAAATTCCAGATTAATCGGTTCCAAATGCTTGCTGAGACAGTGCAGTTCCGCTCCGGTGTGGTCGTAGATATAGAGATATTTCTTCTGCGCGACCGCAAAATATTGGTTATTATGCAACCAGCGAGCGTCACGAACCGTTTCCCCAAGCTGGAGCTCACATCCCAATCTCCCCGACCGCCAGTCCATCGTCGCAACATGACCCTTGCGACCCGCCAGCAGCAACTCCCGTCCATTCCTTGTGTAGTCGGCACGATACGGGCCTAGGTCTTCCAGCTTCAACTCGAATCCCTTCTTGGCCGTCTCGATTCCCACGCTGTCGCGGATCTCATCCTGACGGACCTTGTATGTCTTTTCCAGCTCGCCTTCGGGCTCGAGGAATCCGGCTTCGTGCTCCAACAGGATCTCCGCATCCTTCGATCGCAGGGCCGCCGCCTTGTACTTGGCCTCAACAGCTTTGAGGTTGTCGCGTAGCTTCTTGTCCTTCACGCTGTGGGTATGGATGGCTTTGCCTCGTCCGTAGGTCTTTCGTGCTTCCGCCAGTCTCTTGCTTTCTTTGCGCTGGGTCGGCGCAACGGCCTTTGAGGGATTGTCGGCCATCGCCGTGAGGATAGGGAGGATAGAACGTATGGACTGAATAGAGATAGGTCGCGACGATACGAAAGTTGTTGAATTTGAATTAATTGTCGCGTCAAGCCAGACGGAAGAACTGAGGGAACTGAAGAAGTTGCAGCAGTCGATCCGGAGATGTTTTTTCTAGCGGGTCCTCACGCCAAGCCTTTTTTTTTTTTCTGCCCGCATTTTTTTTGGAATTTTAATTATTTTTCGCTTGTCCACCAACAACTTCTTTTTTCCCTCCATTTGATTTCCTTCCGCCTTCAAGTTGGCTTCGTTCACGCCGATCTCGACATTAGGTTCTCTTGTGCTTCCTGATTTCTCTCGGATATTTTCCATCTTCATCAAATTTCGCCAAATTCTTCACCCTGGCCTCTCTTCCCTTTCGTTTCAAAGGGTCCGACGGTGCCAACATGGCGCCCACCCAGACGGTGCATCACCACCGCTCCACCACTAAAAAAGCCAACAAGTCCTACAAGACTCGTCATGCCTCCAAGAGTTCCTTGAAGGAACAAGACAAGGGTGCGTTATGATAACACACTTCCATAAAAATTCGCATCTTCAATAATTCAACGGAATTGCTAAACCTCCGCAGGCAAAGTCGAGCGGGGCACGCGAAAGACCCCTCACCAACAACTCATGACGAAGCTCGATCGGAGGAACCAAGCCCGTCAGAAGCAGCAGCTGAAGCACCAGGAGAAGGCCCAGGCCACCAGTATCTTCTCCGGTCAGCACGGTGCTCCTCGCCATATCGCCGTCGTCCCTCTCTCCGTCGATATCGATGTCGCAGCCATCATCCGGTCCCTGAACGAGAGCGTTGATGTCTCGAGCGAGTTCTCTACCGATGCGCCCTCTCGCGTCCGTATCGACCGCTTCCGACAGACCCTGCAGTATATTCCCGCCAAGTACGATCTTATGAACGCTTTGGATGTGTGTCGCATGGCGGATTTCGTCATCTTGGCGGTGTCGGCGCACAAGGAGGTCGAGGAAGAGGGAGAGTTGCTGCTCAGGTCCATTGAGGGACAGGGAATCTCGAATGTGATCTCGATGGTCCAGGTAGGCTCACCTTCCGGATGCAATTATCTTCGAGGTTTATCACTAACAAATGTGGTCAGGGCCTCGATCAAATCAACCCCGCGAAGAAACGCCCTCAGGTTGCCGCTTCGCTCAAATCTTTCATGAACCATTTCTTCCCTACCGTCGATAAAGTGCTCTCCGTCGACTCAAGACAGGAGTGCTCGAACGCTATCCGATCATTGTGTACCGCGACCCCCAAGGGCATTCGTTGGCGTGACGAGCGCAGCTGGATGCTCGTTGAGAATGTCACTTGGCCCGAGGCTAACTCGGAGACTGTGGATGATGTGGTGCTGACGGGTGTCGTGCGCGGCAAGGGCCTCAAGGCGGATCGTCTGGTTCATGTCCCCGGCTGGGGTGACTTGCAGATCGACTCGATCACTGCGGCGCCGTTGGTTACGGGCCGAGGAAAGCGCGACGATGCCATGAATGTCGACGAGAATGATACTACACAGGTGCTGGATACTCCTACGGGTGACCGGGACGATCTGGAAGTTGTGGCGCCGGAGGAGATTGAAATGGAAGACGATGACATGTCCATGGCCGAGACCGAGCGCAAGGGTGTTCTCCTCGATGACCACCACTACTTCTCCGATGATGAGTCTCACATCCCCACCAAGCCGAAGAAGCTACCGAAGGGAACATCCGAATACCAGTCCGCGTGGTATCTGGAAGATGTCGACTACTCTGGATCCGACATGGAGGATGAGGAAGAGGATGAGACCATGGAGATGGACACCGCTGGTGCCCCCGAAGACGGCGTCTTTCCGGACAAGGAGGATGCCATGACCGAAGCCGGAGGTACCGAGTATCCTCAATCAGAGATGTTCGTCGACCGGCCACTGGAGGACGAAACGGACCAACTCGAAGAATACCGCGCGAGCCGCCGGAAGGAGGCCAGCGACGACCTCGAATTCCCCGATGAAATCGAATTGCACCCCAACGTGCTGGCCCGAGAGCGGTTGGCCCGATTCCGGGGATTGAAGAGCTTGAAGACGAGTCTCTGGGAGACGTCGGAAGATCGCCCCCACGAGCCAGAGGACTGGCGTCGACTCCTCCAGATCCAGGACTACAAGGGATCGAAGAACCGGACGATCGCAGAGGCCCTGGTCGGTGGTGTCAACCCCGGTATCCGCGTGGATGTTCACCTGCGCGCCGTTCCCATCTCTCTCCGCAACAAGCCTCAGCCCTTATCTCTCTTCTCGCTGCTGCGACACGAGCACAAGCACACCGTCGTCAACGTCAACATGACCCTGAACACCAGCGTCGAGGAACCCCTGAAGGCCAAGGAGGAGCTGATCGTCCAGTGCGGACCTCGTCGTCTGGTCGTCAGCCCCATCTTCTCTTCCAACGACAACACTCCCAACAATGTGCACAAGTTCGACCGCTACCTCCACCCGGGCCGCAGCGCCATCGCCAGCTGGATCGGTCCTCTTACCTGGGGCGCCGTGCCGATTCTGGTCTTCAAGAACCAGACCGTCCAAGACCCGGAGGTGCTCGACGCCAACGACAACCAACCTGATGTTACCCGCCTGGAACTCATCGGCTCCGGCACCGTTGTCGCCCCCGATCAATCTCGCGTCATCGCCAAGCGAGCCATTCTCACCGGTCACCCCTTCAAGATCCACAAGAAGGTCGTCACGGTGCGGTACATGTTCTTCAACTCCGAGGATATCGCCTGGTTCAAGGCCCTGCAGCTCTGGACCAAGCGTGGCCGTAGCGGTTTCATCAAGGAAGGCCTTGGTACCCACGGCTACTTCAAGGCTACCTTCGACGCCAAGATCAACCCCCAGGATACCATCGGTATCAGCCTGTACAAGCGAGTCTTCCCTCGGAAGGCTCGTGCCTTGGAGGAGGTTGTCAACTGAGTCAGTCCGTCTTGTCTGTCATCTTCTTTATTTTCTGCATGTACCGGCTGCATAAGAATATGACATCATGGAAGGGTCTAGTTTCAGACGACAGAAAAAGAGGAAGAGGCGACGATATGATACCACCCAAAAAACATCTTCTGCATGAATTGATGAGCTCTTAACGTCTTGAAAGCGAAATACTTACCACCTATTGAGTATTCCATGGCTTTCTGACGAATATTTCCCCGAAAAAGCATTTGTGATTGGTTATATAGACATCAATGAGTAGAACAAGTTATTTAATGAGTTACGATTTTTCTTTCCGGGTCTTGCTGTTTGCCCTTGGACTTCAGGTGTCATGATTTGTTGTGGTTACGTAGTAGGTAGGTATGTGCAGGAACCAATTTTCAATATCAGTAGACGGTTATATGGCATAGCTCAGCTCAGCTCAGACTAATGATCATGACAGCATCTAACATCATGTGCAACCAAAGCTAAACAGAAGAGAGACGCGGAGGACATTTCGAGTTTATAGCACGATGAACGACACTCAGAGGTAAGAAAAGGAGACGAAAAGGTAAGAGCAGGTAGAACGCAAGAAGGGGAAAACCAAACACGCAAATCTGGGAATCTAAGAGAAATCCTCGCCCGCTTCCTCGATACTGTTCTTGATCCGCAGCAGAAGGGTGGTCTTCCACTTATCCAGCTTGCTGAGCTGGTCGAACTGGAACAGCTTGTCGGCAAAGGATTCTTGGTCGCCGGCCTCGACGGCCTGCGTGAGGTCCACGAGTAGCTGGTGTTCTCTCGTCGAGGCGAATGTGTTGTCGATGTCACGGTAGCTTTCGAGGGCGCGGTTCGTGGCGACCAGGTCCTGGTTTGGAAAATTAGTGTACTGGTTTGTGAGTGACGATATCCCGGGAAATAGAACATACATTCGAAGCCAGGTGGCAGATACCAGCCTTGAGGAAGTAGTCCTTGACGGACCACTTCATCAGGTTGTTGCTGATCGACGAGCGGCCGATACGTTCGTAGTGCTGGATAGCCTTGTAGTAGTCGCCTTCGAGGGCGGCCAGATCAGCCGCCTTGAGGAAATGTTTGTTCGCCAGACTAATCAGGGGAGATGTCAGCATCTAACACTGTTCCAGAAATGTCGTAAAACGTACGCCTCGGCATTGTCACTCTCAAACCACTCCGCCGTCTTCTCATAGGCTTCTAGAGCCTTCTTGGTATCACCTAGTTCCACCTCATACACCTCGGCCAGGTACTGCTGCTGCGTGGCCGCGCGCCGCAGGTTACCCTTTAATACGTAGTGTTGGATCGCAGAGGAAAGCACCCGCGTGGCATCTTCGGGGTCCGATTTCCGGTAGACCTTGAAGGCTTCGGTCAGCGAGTTTGCGGCGTCGTCGGGCTCGTTCAGGTTCTGGCTTTGGATAGAGGCGGCCTTTTCGAACGCAAGACCAGCTTCCTTGTCTAACAAAAAGAAACAAGACAAACAAATTATTAGCGACCGAAATTCTATCCTCAAGAAGCGGAGAACGTGACAAGGAGGGGCTTACTCTGCTTCTGCACCCGGAAAGCATTCGCAGCCTGAGTGTAGAGATCTGCTGCATTCTCGTACTTCTCCGTGCGACCGCCGAAAAAGCTGAAGCCGCCAGTTGCACCGCTCAATGCTTTATCGGCCTAGAGGGTATTCCATACGTCGTTAGCGATCGTCGTTGCTTTTTGACGTAGCGGGGCGGGGATGAATGGCATCATAGCCTATCACTCACGCGCTGCAGGAGAACTCGAGGATCTTGAGCCATGGTGGATAGACTATGTCGACCCCAGCAGGCTAATAAGATGAAAGCACTAGAAGTCAGCTTAAAATAAGAGGAGGATAGTAGACTGGAGGAGAGGAAGAGAAGTGATTCAGATGGAGACGGCGCCGGAGCGATGGCCGCCTGTTCGCGAAGGCGGTGGGCGCCCGTTTTCCATCATCGTCTTCCGCCCGGCTTTTTCGTCCACCTTTCTCTGGCGTCGCTGTCATTGTCTTTCGCTTGGTTTTGCGATTCTGGGATCATTGTTTCTCAAATACTGCTTTTTTTACTGGATCTGCCTACTTAGCTGCTCTTCGAGCAATTCCCGCCCTTTTACTTCCAGAATGTCACTTTTACGCACTGCTCCGTCGCGACTTTCGAGACCCTTTCAGCGACATGCTCTGCGACGCATAAATTACATAAAGGCTCGATTCTACTCCTCTAAGCCCGAAGAGACCGATATCGATTCTATCCTTGCGAAACCGTCCTGGTCCGTCCGCTCGTTACTCCCCGACGAAACCACCAAACCGTCTTCTCCGTCCGTCACCCCGGCACAACTGCGACATCTGCTTCGACTCTCTGCTCTGCCTCAACCAGCTAATCAGGAAGAAGAAGCTAAAATGCTCGAGACTCTCGAATCTCAAATCCATTTCGTCAAGGAGATCCAGAGCGTTGACGCGTCGGGCGTTGAACCTCTCCAGAGTATCCGAGACGAAAGCCCCGAGGCAATCCAAGAAACGACCATTAGACTCGATCAGCTCCGAGAAGCCTTTGCCCAGGAACGTGTCGTTGGCAGGAACAAGAGAATCCAACGTATCGAGTCGGAGAGGAATGAGCGCCCAGACGGAGATGCTTGGGATGGAGATGCGCTGCGGTATGCGTCGAGAACCAAGGGAAAGTTCTTCGTTGTTGAGACCGGCAATGGCAATTGAACGGATAACCGAATCGTCTAAGGGCCATGGAGCACAGAGATAGCCACGGCCCCCAATGTGATACGTGATGCAGGAATCGGCCTTGTGTGCCTTCCCAAAACCACAAACACTTGGCAAACCCTCCTGGATGAGTCATCAGATGATCTCATCGCCTTAAGAAGGCGTCAACGTTGATTCTCCTCCGTCGACATTCCGCAAACAACCCCATTCGACTGTACGACAGCTCCGACCGACCCAACTCTCCTTTCGTACTCCTGTCATTGTCACTGCCCCTGATATCGCCTTCATGTGGAAAAACATCAAGGAATTTAAAGATAAACATGTCAGCAAATTTGGGTCGGAATCGTCTTCGGCCCCTCAGAAAAATGACCAAGACTTGACCACGATCCTGGATCGCTCCCAACGCGCCGACCTGACGGTGCTGGTCGCCGAAATCACCCAGTCCATGCGCCATGTAATTGAACAGAATTACCATAACCACACGTCCGAGCCCGATCAGTTCCCCCCGGAGACAGAAACCGAAAACCGCCCGCGTTCTTCGTTCGATAGCCTTGATGAACGTTCAAATAGCGAAAACAAGCCGGCTTTTGTAAAGCTTACCGCCAACGACTTGAGGGATGAGGCTAGTACATTGACCAATTTTGATGATTGGAGAGACACGGTGCTTCTCCGTATCGGTGAAGTGGTCAATCGAGAAGATGAACGCCATGAGGGAGAAGAGAGTTTGGAGCGCTCGGAAGTACCACAAGAATCTCAGCCACGGCTTGATGAAGACGAGAGATCGATCCAAAAATTACAGCAGGTTTATCCTCCGGTGCAAACACCTCTTGCACGTCTCGACAAGGCCAAGAAGCTGCTTATTCTCCATTCACTACTTCTTCTCATGCTTAGCCTGGAGCATTACAACGCGCGATCGCGTGTATTGATGTTATATGTCACCTCAAGTTTGAATCTGGATGTCAAAATTCTGAACGGCGACGAGGTCACAGTCGCGCGGGGTTTGCTTGACACGGCTCTTCAACTGTCAGGCAGTGGGGACGGACAGGGCCAAAGGGAGAAGGGAGATTCTGCTAGAAAGTGGAAGGTCGGCATTGCCTCGGTCACAGGAGCTGTGCTGATTGGAGTTACTGGCGGACTTGCTGCCCCGTTGGTTGCCGCAGGCCTGGGCACTGTCCTCGGAGGACTCGGACTCGGTGCTACAGCCGCTGCAGGCTATCTGGGAGCTCTTGCAGGTAGCGGCGTCATTGTCGGTGGCCTCTTTGGAGCCTACGGCGGCCGAATGACTGGACGTATGGTGGATAAGTATGCGCGTGAGGTAGACGACTTTGCATTCTTACCGATTCGAGGATCGCGGCACAGATCAGAGGACGAAAAAGAAGCCGCTCAAGAGGACCATCGACTTAGAGTTACCATCGCCGTCACAGGCTGGGTAACTGAGGAAGAGAATTTCGTGGTTCCTTGGCGTGTCATCGGTACTGACTCCGAAGTCTTTGGCCTGCGATGGGAGATGGAGCCATTGATGAACCTCGGAAACGCAATGGATCTATTGGTCACCAGTGCTGCGTTTGCTGCCGGTGGACAGGTCCTGAAGAAAACGGTTTTCGCCTCGCTTTTGAGTGCAGTGGCTTTGCCCCTCGGTCTGCTCAAGGCGACTAAAGTGGCCGACAATCCTTTCAGCGTTGCCAAGGTGCGGTCTGAGAAGGCTGGCGAGGTCCTTGCGGATGCTTTGATCAGCAAAGTGCAAGGCGAGCGCTCGGTCACTCTTATCGGATATTCTCTAGGCTCTCGGGTAATTTTCTCCTGCCTTCAGACTCTGGCAAAGCGACGCGCATACGGCTTAGTAGAGTCCGTGGTCCTCATGGGATCCGCCACCCCATCCAACACCGAGCACTGGCGTCGCATGCGCAGCGTCGTGAGCGGCCGCATTGTGAATGTCTACTCAGAAAACGACACTGTGCTTGCCCTCCTCTACCGAACCAGCAGCTTCCAAAAGGGCGTTGCAGGCTTGCAGCCCGTCCACGGCGTTCCCGGTGTCGAAAACCTTGACGTCAGCGATATCATCAGTGGCCATCTCCGCTACCAATTCATGGTCGGACACATCCTGCGCCGCGTCGGACTAGAGAGCATTGACAAGCGTGAAGTGATACGCGAGGAGGTAGCACTGGAAGAGAAGGATCGACGACAGGAGCAAGAACGCATCCGGAACAAGCGTCGGGCAGGCATGGACGATAACGCAGACGAGGATTCGGCTCGTCGGGCGCTGGAAACCGACCAAGGCGCGGAAGAGGACGCACGGCTTCAGCGCCAGATGCAAGCCAGGACCAATGAACAATTGCCTCCGAAACCGCCGCGTCCTACCAACCCGGAGCTGGAGCAACGGCCTAAGCTCCCTCTGCGACCTCATGTTCCGCGTCGTCCCGTCCCTGATAGTTCCCAGGAAGGGCTTTAGATTTGTTTGTCCTGTCACGGGAGTGGTTCAACGTGCAACATAATTTAGGAGACGTCAAGAAAAAGGGATGGACTTACGAGGATAGATCGAATTAGATACAATTGAACCATCTGCTCTATCAATGAGCTTCCTCCATCAGCCACCTCAATCCTCCATGAAACCCTCATTCCCCAGATTCGTCATTCTGTAGAGGAACCATATAACAGAGACGCCTCCAGTTCACCCTCTCGCGGAAATCTAGACCATCGCGACCCACAATAGTAGCACAGGCATCACACCGCTAGATATTCCGAGGTTTATCCTTGCGTTGTCTCAATCTCTATCCCTGTCAATCAGGAGCTGTCATACTAGACCATGCTCGTGTACTTTATTTCAAGTGAAACAAACCCCTTTCCCAAATTTTTTAAATCAGTCATTTAATCAATCATCACGCGTGAATCCCCGGAGACGAGTGCGTCATGCACCGTGATTTGCCAGTTCCCTGTGCGATGCTGGAATGCCTAAGACATTCTGTCGAACATTTTGCTCACCCCTCAGTAACACCGGAAAATATCTGTTCTTCCTGTATAACTGTCTCCTTGATCGTACCAACAAGTCGATAGTTATATCTTAGGTACTCTCTGCACTTGATCAATTGCCAAAGTCGGGATCTTGTATTTAAGAATTAACAACGGCGAATCGAAAGTCCATCTCGGGAATATATAGCTACTCGTACAAAGAGGACTGACAGGGCAACTCGCCAGCTATTTTGATATCCGTATGCAGATGCAGGGATGTGAATTAATGAATCAAATACCTAAGATGATCACCAACATGGTCGTCGATAAAGAAGATGTCTGCCCTGGTGTTGCATACAGAATGGGAATGAATGCCCATGACTTGGCGGATTAGCTGCCTTAGGCACTAAGGTATCAACAATGATGACCACTCACAGTTAACTACCGCTCTCTAGTTAGTCACAGAACATGAAGCCCAAGAAAACATTAACAAATCATTAAGAAACAATAGTTACCAAGAGCCCATAGATTGCTACTCCGTAGATTAATCAAGAGCTCCTAAGACATAGGCCGTACGTTGGTCGTAGTCTATAAACCAAGCGTCCGGCCCGGAAATCCCGAGATTGACTAACTATATAAAATGAAACCAAAGCACAAAAGCGCATTGACCAGTTCAATATAAACACCGAACTATCAAGTCACTTAGTGCTAAATAGTTGATAGATAGAAAGCTGGTGGGTTTTAGTTCACATCGGAAATTATGTCACTTAGATGGAGTCCCGTCGGTCAGATGGAATAGGGAAAGCTTGGTTGGGTTGTAAATTGAGACTGAAGATAGAATGTTGATCGGTTCAGGGGGGGGGGGGGTCTTGATATACAGAGTAAGTATTTGATATTTCAATGATCAGACTGATTTTATGGCGAAGAGCCAACGTAATCTTTCGATGGAAAACTTGATATCCAGATAATACTTCCGTGATGCAGATGTGCAGTCTGCAGCGATCACGGGAGATAATCATCGTCATCGTTGTTCATGTGAGAATGGAGTGATCAACGAATGAATATCAATGTCTGTTTTACCCACTAGAGAATGATGGGGCCACACCGTTGGATCATTGTAATATAATTTGCGCATCATCATCTACAGTCTTCAGTCTAGAGTATACAGGGAGGTGCAAACACAGTGGCGAACTGAACGAGGATGAACTTCTCCGAAGGATCAAAAACCTACATGTCCTGAAACGCAACAACCCATGGCTTTGGTATTCCGCGTGGGCGTGGACTCGGGAATCCATCTTAAGCAGCATTTCATCCCATGGTCTGGCTCAGTTCGGGTCGGCATCGACACGAGGCGATTTTAGACTTCGGGCGGCACAGTCCGAAATCCGAGGGTTGGAATTTCAGAAAGACCCGGAGAAGGGGAAGCTCTGGGACACGGGGCAAAGGATTTGGAACCCGAGGCAGGGTGAGTTAATACCAAATTAAACACCGACAGGAATGACGTGCAGCGAGTTAAAGAGTAGAACTCGATTAGGAAAATTCGAAGGGGGCCAAATCTATATTTGACAGCGGTCTCGTATAGAGTGGACACTGTAGAGCAGAAGGGGCAAATGTAGGTTTCAGTGAACCAATGGAAGAGCGAATGCTCGACGTCAGGCTTACTGGATAGAGGAATTACTCCTTCGGGAAGGTCAATAATAGGCAGCAGGTCCAGGCCATCCAAATGATTGGAAATCGAAACGCCTTGAACCGACGGCATGGATCCGGCTAAGAAAGGCGACGCCGGGCTCCAGTGATGCGCTGGCCGTGGTGTTTGATTTGGCGAGGTGACCGGACAAGCTTTGGCGAAAGTGGAGTCAGTGTAGATCGTTATGCCGGAAGAATGATTGAATTGCGTCCGTGTGGAACTGGCGCGTCTGGTTTCCGATTGGGGGGGGCTTTATTTTGTCATGTTGATTGAGGCGCAGATTTGATGTTCCTAATTTGAGTTAACAGGAGAAAGGGGGATAATGAGGGTGGCCAATTTTGTCATCTCGTAGAAAATGAATTATTAAACTAATTTAGGCATCACAGTATCATTAAGGTAATAGTTCTCATCGGGTATAATGAAGGATGGGTAGAAAGAGATTTGGAAAATATAAGAAAAAAAAAAAAAAAAAAAAAAAAAAAAAGAAAAGAAAAGAGAGTGAAGGGTAGAGGAAATCGAGGCAATTTACTCAAACAAAGGCAATGTCCACAAAGAAATATCAAGAAAGATTGTATCAGTACCGTATCATCCCACATTATCATCGCTTACTCGCTTCTCCGCTCTCGTTGGTGCTCCTCAGGGTGGGCTGGCTCATGTGAGATCTCAATCGTCGTTTCTTGATACACACCCTGGCCCATGTCGACCAGCTCCATATCGCCCTTCCGAACAATGTCTTCGGTAGAATCATCACGGTCGTCGTTTACCGTATCATTGATACTCTGTAGTCCACGACGAAAGCGAGACCCGACACGGAACCGTTTGTTGTCTCTCGTCGCGGTAGTAATATGCGTTTGGTACGCGTTCGAGTTGGAGTAGGGGTACATCTTGTCCGAAGTGCTAATTTCCGTCTCGAGCAGAAGGTGTCGACGGGTCAGAGTGTAGACGAGCACGTCGACCAAACCAGAAAGCGCCATCAGAGACCCAGCAACAGCGAAGTATGTGCGACTCTGGATGATATGCCGGGCAGTAGACATACGTCCGGCTGCCAAGGGAAGAGAAAGAACAAGGTATACCAGAGGATAGATAACCATGTAAATAACCACTCGATTCAGGCGTTTCAGATTTTCCTGGTGATTTTGCCGAAGCATCGCAGCCTGCTTCATACGACGTTGTAGATAGAAGAACATAATTCCGTAGAGGACAATAGTTCCGAATTCAGCGATGAAAATCCACAAGTAGTGCGCCCAGAGGCGGGCCGTCTCATGTTCTCGACTAATCCAGCACTGTGATAAATGGATAATGTTAGCAGAGGGTTCTATGAACACTTGGTCCCTGAATTTCACTTACCCATCCGGCTTCAGAGATGACAAAAGTATTGGAGGTAAACTTTCCAACGGGAATCAATCCCAACAGTATGATGAAGGCCCAGAGTCCGACGACGCAAGTAACGAAGACGCCGTATGGTAATTGTCGGCCTCGTAAGACGACCGCACCAGTATGCATTGCAATTGCCAGGACGAATAATCCACTCCCGGGGTCGGCGATCTGAATCCACCAACCTTGAAGTACACAGGCGGCGCTGGGATAGGAGACAGCCCCTTTCGAAACCCAGTGAAGACATATCAAGAATGCCGTAGCCTGCTGTACATCCACCAAGAGCAGATTGTAAATAAGCACGACATACTGGTTCTCCGCAAGGGGTCGCTTGTAGTATTTCCGCCAAAAGATGAACCGGTAGGTAAGAAAACTTATCAGACCAAGTGTTGAAACAAAAGAGAGGATGGCGATCACCCCCATAGCAATGAAGCCCGCCCTATCGCTGCTACTCAGTGACTGAGAGCCGGAACTATCCTCGCGACGCGCGAGATGTGAAGCACCAGCATCCTCGCTGTAGAGCATGTGCAACATTCGCGCTAGGCCGACCATTGCTCATTGCTTGGTGGGTGTCGCTATATGAGATACTGTCGTGAACAAGAGGTCGGTCGATGGTAACGAAAGAGCACTTGAATGGTTGGCAAGGACAAAGCTCCATCGCCAATGGTGTCAACCCATAATTAAAGTCTTGTGTCGTCCCTGCCAAGAGATTTCCAGGAAGCTTTTTTCACACAAACTCGCTTGAAAAGGGGAGCACATTCTGGTTGATGTATGGGGCATTCCAAAGTTTATGGACTGACGATCCCACTGGTAGGTGGGATGCATAGTCCGTCGACGACGGGCTTGTGGATGCTGCGTGGCTTGGTACATATTCCGCACGAGATCCTCGATCACGCTCCACACCCGCAGGAATCGTTCCGGCGCTGTGCGCCGATTAAAATGCCCACGCATCAGCTCAAGGTTCCAGCTCTAGTATAGAATTGCCGATCTTCCAATGGTTTGATCCTGGTAAGAACTCGTGCATCACTGAATCATGAGTCTGACATACTCTGTACTCCGGAGTAGGCTGGCGAGCCTTTCACTCGTAAATAACTGCGATTTCAGAGGTAACCCACCCATGTGGATATCTCTATAAGTACCGGTGGAGAATCCATCGCCTTCCGCGAAGCTAGGCTGTCAGAGCGAGATTATTGGAGCTCGACTTATTCGCCACGCTCTAATTCGGATTTCACATTTAGCACGCCTTAGCGCGAAGACAGGTGGTGCTTGATGTAGTTATGCCGGATAAACCCCCTACTCCGGAGTACGGAGTAAACCACTGGCCACCGTGGATGAGGTATAGGTTGTCTAGGCGCAGATCGACTCGCAAATGCCGTTTGTCCGTCCTTTGAGGCTTCGACGATCTAACGGAGTATGGTTTTCGAATGGCCGGAGACATGCCGCGGAGAAGGAACAATGAGGTTATTGAGTTGCACTAACGTTTAGTGTCTATTAGTGGTATCGTAATGTGAGGCGATTTACAAGAAGAGCTGTAGTCGGTAGTTGGATGTTACGTACCTGCGCCATCCATGGTACGAGATGGAGAAGCGGGAAGGATGAGAATGCCGAGATACGAGGAAGAAGTTGGATAGTTAAGAAGGGGCCAAGGAAGTGGTGACTAACAAGGTTGGGGTTGGGGTGGAAGTCCTGAGGCCACCTCCGACCGTGTTTGCTTTCCTTTCAAACAGACACCGCCATGTCTTCCCCCATCGCCGATATCTTTTTTGGCCATTACACCCAATCGCCTTTATACTTCCATCAAGACTTACTGACAGTTTGACAGTGTACGCTATCACTTGGCTCCGGGGGCTACTGTACAACGCACGGGGATATTCAGGAGCACCGACTCTCAGGAGAAACTAGGTCGCCATGGAACCATGATCGCCAAGGGTTTCCAGTCATTCTATAGCGAGATATCTGCTAAGGTAGGATTCAAAACGATTAAGGTTGACGCTGGGCAAATAGTGCATGCACAAGCGTTCTCTAGACCGTTTCCCAATCGGGCAGACTGGATTGGCCCGACTCGCTAGTTCCACAGATCATGGTGATCTCTATATGGGTAAACTTTGCCCTCGCCAGTCGCTATTATGATCAGGCCACATGCAAATCGACCGTCTCATCGGGAGAACCGAGATGTTGGGACGAATTGTTCATGGGGTCAGTCTTCTCGATACTATTCAGACCTCAGAATCCCAGTCGGAGGATTCTGGAAAGTCTAGAAATATCAGTCATTTTCTGAACAGCAGCCATGGTCGACATTCCTGCGTCTTATTGCTATTTGGATAATATCTTGCGGAGGTTTCTGTCCATCTTTCAGATGTTCTTTCGATCGAGTCCCATTCCAGAGATCTCCTTGCATATTATGCGGACCCATCTTAGCGCTGATCGACAAGTAGCTCCGGAGGATTCTCCAATAGCAGGATTGCACTCTGCAAGTCCACTCAGATTTCTCTACCTCCACTTCAATTACTTCATGTTTACCACTAGAGTAGACATAAACGAAATTCTTTGGCGGATCGCTCCTCACGTATCCATGAATCCAAGCTGTGTTTTCCTTTGACATAGAGCATGTGGTGGGAAAAGAGGGAAGATGAGTATGTAGGCTTACTCGTGAAGGTGGAATCTGTGGATTCCAACTGCGTCTATCTTTGAGCTACGACTTATCAATCATGGAATCCAGGCAACGGTGCTAATGTGGACCATTATGGAGATCAATGAAGTGGAATCTAGGTATCTGGTTTCGATTTCATAATGGATACCTAGGAGAGCTTGGGCAAGCTGGAGGCGGGTTTGTTGGAGAGGAGTGACAACAGCATAGTGAATTCCGGGTAATATTATAGGTAGGCTGGGAAATGAACAGGACGCTGCATGGGTGGTTGAACGCGAGCAAAAGATTTTCAGATCAACCGAGAGAAATCTCTGACTACAGTCTTGTACTTCTATAGAACATCATGATAGCCAGGTATGATGTGGCCCTTGTAGGCAGACATGATATCATTTGTACTTGTCTGACTTTTGTTGGGACTACTTGCTATCTTTCTCTCTTCCGCTCTTTTCATCCTTGTCATCGCGCTCGCTGTTTGGCTTGTCTATCCAACGTCAGTGAAGCCTATTCTGTGTCACAATGATACCAGAAGGGGGGAAAGAAGACACACCTTGATCGGTGTCACCTTGGCAGTAGGTGATGGCTGTGGCCGGGAATTCCTGGTCTCTAACCCAGCCGCCACTAGAGTCGTGATACTTCATATAATCTCTTGGGACGTCTTGGAACCGCACACGCGGGCGCCTGGCGAGTTCGATCAGCGCAGTAGACACGTCAGCGGGGACGTCATAGTTGACGGCGAACACATGTCCATCAATGATGACGTTGTCTATCTCAGCCCATGGGTCGTACTTGACCTCGTATTTCAGGTACTCTGCGGGGATATCGGCGAATTTGGCATCGTTGACAGAGAGATCGTGCATGCGGTAGCGTACCTCGTCTGGCACATTGTCATCAAATTCGAAACGGTGGCCATCGATCCTGCAACGCTCAACGCCGTCACCCGGGTGGTAGGATTGTTCGGATTCATCGATAGGTGCTGTTTCCGAAGCCATGACTATTTTCGGGCCAAGATGTTGAAAAGATGCAGTGGGAGGTTAAAGGAGCGGGGCTGAGGGAATATGTGACGAAGTGTCAAGGTGAGCGAGAAGCAACAACCGAGGTTTTATAAGCCACCCTGGACGAATATTAGCTCCTTCTACGATGGGACCGCGTTGTGTAACATGAGCATTCTAGGAAACCAAATGTAAGTCTCACTCATATCGAAATTCTACTTCGTCCTGCGTACGCCATGTGGTTCTCGATCGAATGGAGATATTCGGTGAAGCTCCTGCGGTAGATAACCTGCAACGAGCCCTTCGGGAGAACGTGTTTCCAGGTCAGTGGCCGTTGAATTCACTCGCTAAGAAAGCTATGGAGCTACGCATTGGTCACCTGCTAATCATTCCGGTGCTTGGGATATCCTAGTTACCCTCACCCTCGCCTCTAAATCGCTGAAACTTCGTACGACCGAAACATCCCTATGAGCGGTACAGTACATATAAACATGCAAATATATGCGGATGCCTTGTGTGACAAAAATGATGCAGGCTGAAGTCAACGTCATCGGACTAGGTATGGCCCCCCAAGAGGAACAAACAGATAGGATAAAAAGCCTGCTCCCTCAGTTGAATCTGACCTAGAAACAGACCGACGAGAGCCCTCTGGATACATCCTTGAGAATCCACTTGCAAGTCCTTGCCCATAACCATCCTCAGCACCAACTTATCCACACAATGCACTGGAACGTACCTTTCATCATCTTAGCATCTCTGCTGTCCCCTTTCATTTCTGCCGTGACCATCGAACACTATCGAACCGGAACATGCAAGGGCAACCACCTCACTTGCATTGGAATCCGCGAGTTCCAATGCTGCAACTTCAAGCCAAATAGCCAGTCTGTTGACTCCTCTGCCCTATTTCGCGGCTTGCCACGATTCGCTATTGGAAACGTTTGCCACGCAAGAGGAAGTAACGATTGCGGATCGGTGCAGAGATCCGTGAGGGGACTGAATCAATGTGCCGAATTGGCCAATGCTCGGGGTTCCTTTTGGTTTTTTAATTGGCAGCAAAATCGTCAATTTTTCCAAAGCCAGGAGAATGTCAATGTTAGCTTTGTCAACGAAATTATGGATCACCGGGTCAACGAAATTATGGATTACCGGGACAACGTAACTCTGGCTTACCAGTTCAACAGGACCGTCCAGCCAGACTTGGTGAACATCGAAGGCCATGCATTTCCACTTTATTGGGGCACTCCTGAGAACGTCACTGTTGCCTTGATGGAGATATTTGAGAATGATGGAACTTATGAGGATATTCCAGAGGAGGCGAGGCGCTGGGAAATTAGAGAGGAAATGAGATACGAAGACGCGTACGAAGACGCGTACGAATACGCGGACGAAGATGCAAACGAGAATGCAAACGAGAATACAAACGGAGATGCAGATGGTGATGCAGACGGAGGAGCGGACGGAGGAACAGAGTGAGACCGAGCATGTGCGGCAAGACACAGAGAGAATCGAGGCGATGGCTGGATTTGGAGGAGGTCGAGGGATAATGCCGCTCATGGAAATTCGTAAAGTCCCAGAACCACACGCTAGGTCGCACCGACTGGATCCAGAAGTTTTTTCGAGATGGGAACTTGGGTATTTATTAAGGGAATATCTCTGGCTGGTCAATGGGTTTGTCATTATTGTATGCGACGCTCCAGAATGCCTCTTCTTCCTACCCTACATACCGTCATGTTCATATAATTTGGCTCAATTCAAGCGTATTATTCGCATTAAACAAAACACTGCTTCCTACCATAAAAAGATTTGGGCGTGCCTTGAATCATACGGTAGCAGATAAGAGATTGGCAAGCAACAAGGGCGATACGAGCAATTTCAGCAGACTGCTGTATTTTCAGTAGGCAACGGCATAATTCATGTCTTTCGTCTTAAACCTACCATACAACAATCACGAGCACGAGCCAAAACAAAAGTCCGGTGCCCAAAAATAAATCACGCACCAGCCTAAAAATCCAAGTTGGCGAAATATGGGTCTCTCTCTCTTTCTGATAAGATGGAAAGGAAAAGAAAGGGGGAGAGATCCCTGGGTTTGGACGGTTGGAGAAAAATATCAACTTGTATGAACGGGGCTACGCCCGATATGCCAGGCAAAATAATTCCAAATGAGTCGGGTATGACAGGCTAGCGTTTTGAACTGGTGAACTCTGAACCATGTACAGATGAAACCGTGAAACACTAAGCTGGCGGACGGAGCTCCATCTTAACGGCCGTCACCAAGACCATGAATCCAGAACGCGTCACTGCGGGCAGATGATCCTTTCCGGTTGAAGCGGCAGCGCAGGGACTTCATAGTTCATACACAGGAGTAAGTTCATGCCTGTTGGCATCGCCTGGCTTCGCTTTAGATCCAGCGGAAAATGCCCGGCCCTTGCGCTACTTCTTGACGCCGTCCCCACCTAATCCTTCCATAGCATGATAACCCTACCCGCTGGCAGCGTCGAAGGAGTTATGGATAGGCCGATCAACGGGCAGGTTCATTCGCTTATAAGACGGCATCGCTCGTCCTTCTACAGAGGTGTGCATGCATCCAGTCGTTCATCGTTTTCGTTCTTTCTGTTTCGTTCATTCATTCATTCCTTCCCTTTCTTTGATCAATTGTTCTTCGTTTCTTCGCGATGCGTTCTATCGTCTTGTCCTCTGCTCTGGCAGCAGGCCTCGCACAGGCCTACACTGTGACAAATGTTGACATGTTCATGGTCAAGAACATCGACCCTCTGGTTTTTCCTGGCGAATATACCAGCCACATGCACAGCTTCTTCGGCTCGGACGCTGTCACGGCTCGTACCAACTCGTCCGCGGAGCTGCAGAAGGGCTGCTCGACTGCCCGGAACCCCAATGACTTCTCAGCCTACTGTAAGTCGTCTTGTCGAGTCTGTCGTCATTGCTAATCCTTAAACTGAATCCAGGGGTCCCTACTCTCTACCACGTGGACGGATCGAACTATACCGCGCTCGAACCCTTCCGATTCAGCGCTTACTACCAGGAGCTCGACAGCGCCGAGATCCCCATCCCCCAGGACCTGAAGCTTCTCGCAGGCAACGCCACCGCCACATCCCAGGAGGGTGTGCCCGGCGACGCGGGCATCCAATGGTTTTGCGACGGCGAGAGCCTTGAGGTAGGCAAAGACGACGCGGCCTTCCCGAGCAAAACTTGCATGTACCACCTGCAGGGGCTGCTCCTGTTCCCGGACTGCGCCAACCCCAAGACACTCGAATACGCCTACTCGGCCAACCCGGACTGGGTTGAGAATTACGGAGAGAACCGTTGTCCGATCGGCATGTCTCGCATCCCTCGTCTTCGCTACTCCATCCGATATGACCTGCGCAATGTCCTCCCCAACGGCTGGTCCGGCACTCCTCCGCTGGAATTCGCCTGCGGTTCGCCCTACTGCTCTCACGGTGACTTCATCAACGGATGGCTCCCCGCGGCTGCCGAGAACATGATCAAGGAGGCGGCCTCTAACGACCGCGACTATGCTCAAGTCTCTGGCCCCAACGGAGCGGGCGACCAAGGCTCTCTGTGCGATGCCGAGGACGCTAAGGACAGCGACCCGTCCCACGGATCTAGCAACTACTGGGAGAGCGTCAAGATGATGACCATGAGCAAGAAATCGTCCGGTTTGACCGGCGCGATGAAACGGCACTTGGCTCGCCACCGAGCCCAAGGTTTCTAGGTCTGGGTTAGGATTAGTCTCTGCGAATCTTCGTGAGGCATTTAGGTGTCAGTTTCTATACTATCTTTCTTCCGCTGTGCGCACGACTTCAGCTCTAGTCACTCGTTTATAAAAATGTCGCGGCCCGTTGAGAATCATTATAGATAATTAAGCTAATCGTTATCATCCACGGCAAGTGGAAAACCATATCAATTTTTGACGTATCGGTTGAATACCTTCCAGAATAGACCTTCACAAAAAAACCAAAAAACAATAACCCGAAAAAACTAGACAAAAGACCAAAACAAAAACCTTGAACTGACGTCTGACCGACAACGGATAAATTATAGCGACCTGAAACGGAACCAGGGGCAGCGAACCTAAGCGAAGGCGCTAACGACACAGCTCAGCGGGTGACTGACGAATTGGGACTCCTGGTTACCGCATCGGGAAAGGGTCCAATATAATTTAGATTAAACTATTGGCAGCGCGCCGTTCTAGAAAAGATCGTCGCCGCTCTGACGACACCCTACGGAGTACGGAGCGCTCCGGTCTCTCTGAAGATGTTTGTTGCGCTCTCCGGAGTGGCCCTCTGTGGTAGTTTCGGCCGATACTAGATTGTTGGTGAAGATCATGGCCTAAGTTGGTCTCTACTAATCTTCACTTCAAGGGGCGTTAATTCTTTTCGATGTTGGCCGTTGGTAAGCCTCAAAAGTGACTACTCCGTAGGGGTGAATATGGAATGGTGCTCTGGCTTGACATTACGATATTTAAATCCTGCAACTCGGAATCAACGTAAGGCAAAGACACCGGAGCAGATCAAAGCATGGTTTCTTTCTATTATGGGGTGTATGTCGACTCTCTGATACTCCCTTGCTGTCCTCTAAATGCTGTTGCTTGATGTTTACCATTGATGGCCTTGGAACCGTTACGGCTGTACTTTGCCCTAGCCCTAAGGGGATAGTAGGCATGCGGATCAATTCAGACCAATCACCATACTACTCGACTCCCAAGCAGCTATACGCAGGCTACAACATGCAAGACCTGGACCAGGTCAGGCAATAGCTGCTGACATACGCACTACCGCCCAGGACCTGCTATCTAGGGGCCGTGATCCGATAATTCAATGGGTCCCAGGACATGCAGGTATAGAAGGAAACGAAAGAGCAGATCAAGCAGCAAAACAAGCTGCAACACGAACACCGGGACTAGGCTGCGGAGAGATCTCACATGCATCTATTCGCAGAACCCGTACAGAGGCGTTAAGAATAAACAGACAACACTAGCTAGAACATAGCCTGAACCGTGGACTACAATCGACTCAGAAAAACTATAAGTCTGGGAGAGGCTGGCAACTGGATCTTATAGCAGCAACAGCTACTAAGGGCCTAGCTAGCCGATACTTCCAGATGAAGGTAGGACATGCAGCTATCGGCTCATATCTACACCGCATAAAATCTCGGGAAAGAGTGACCTGCCAAAACTGCCAAGCTCCTGGGGAGACAGTCTCTCATATACTAGTTAGCTACAGGCAATGGCGACGGCAATGAGAGGCACTATATACAGCTCTAGATAGAGCGGGAATAGCAAGGCCTTCTGTACAAGAAAACTACCCGGAAAGCAGGCTCTTTGGGGAGTCTAAAACCACTAAAGCCCTACTGGACTTTATAGCTAATACAGACGTGGTCCTTCCCGGAGGTCAATACCAGAAGGATCAACACAGAGCGGAGAGACAATGAAAAGGGCCTAGAAGCTCTAGAGGAGGCTGAACGGACCGGAGAAGGCTAACAGGAAGGGTGGCCTGGGCACATCTAGGCGTCACCCACCCTGCTAGAATCCTAAGGAGAGCAAACAAGCTCAAAAGCCCTGCGCAAGAAGGCGGTATGGGGCGAGGAAAAGGAACAGAATGTATACAAACGAGGGAATAGCCCTAGGAACTGATAGAGGCCTGAGGCCTAGCCTCAGGCCGATGACACACGGTCTGCCATAGCCCTAGGGGCTCGGTATGGACAATAAACTTGATTAGATAATAATAATAATAATAATAATAGTAGGCATGCGGCCACTTTGCATATGCTACCTTCCGTTGTTAGAATCTTACTTGATGTTTCTTTACTACCATTTGCATTGCGTCAGATAGCTCGCGTCTGGCATAAGCTTCTGTTGCTTCCAGTGAAAAACATACTTAGTCGACCGCTTCACTAGGTCGACTACATCGGGGCCATAGTTCCCGGCTTCCTTCACGCTCCGACGACTCCTGGAAATTGGAGCCATTCCGTTACGGCGGAGGCTCATTCGGCGAGTTCTGCCAGGATCTTGACGACTCCCTTGAGAAGCGGTGGGCAAGCTCACCTCGTCCGTCTCAAGAACCTGTCACCGACACTTGTGACGCTTCCCCTCACGCTGTTGCAGACATGGGAAAAAGGGGGATTGACTACGTCGCGAGACCTGTCCCCCCAGGACAGGTCACAATCCCTCCGGTCAGAGACAAGGAGGTTTCCGAGGACTCGATCTGTGTACCCTTTGGCACTCAGGAGTGGATCAGGACGATGCAGTCTTGCACACGGTCGTGCGACGATACGCGGGCCAAGTGGTCTAAACTAAAGCCGGATCACTGGTGGCAACCAGGCAAAAGTCGACCCAAGGAGAGCAGCTCCAGCTTAATGCGTCGTTGAACAAGAATACGTTCCGACTGGTCTGCCTCAAAATGCAGGAGATGCGCCTGCCCCTGCTGCCCGAATGGGAGGAATAGTTGCCGCCCCTACAGGGGGCCGGCCGGGTCCTGTAGCAGCACCATGGATAAACGCAGTTGTACTAATCAACTTCAACAAGGGGGGTAGATAAACAGATGACCTGTGTATGTAAATACATAGGAAGTGTGGGGATGTCTCGTCACGTGTAGTAAGCTATAGATCACCCACTCCAAGTCTCGTCACTAACAGTCATCTTTTATCCTAGACCATTTTCAGTTGGCTCTGCGTTCCCCTCCTGATCCTTAATATCGAGGGAATATAAAATCAGATTAGCGTATGCCATGCATCTAGAGTGACAACGAGAAAATGGAAATCGCGGACTTGATTGCGGCTCAATGGCCTTAAAAGCCGCGCGGGCGAAATAAATCGACGATTGATCCCACTGTCATCAAGGTTCGAACTTGCCAAAGATGTTCGAGACACGCAATGGAAAGCTGGACAATTTCACATCCCCGAGCATATATGCGCCTCACAAAACTCGGGACCTCCTTCCACAGAGGTTGGATTCCGTTTCCGGATTGAGGGCGGGTCCGTCAACAGGAGCTCAGATCCAGATTTTCCGCCCCAACGGTACTAATTCACCCCTAGAGGCGAGTTATAGGCCATTGACTACAATCTTGTCATGTCTAACGTGCATCTTGCGTTTAGATCGTTTTTCCTGCCCCTGCGCCTAATCCCCTAGGCCCTCAAATCTTACGTGTTTTCCGTGAAGACTTTTATTCTCCTGGAACGGTACCAGCGGACCGAAATCCTCAAGATCATTGGGATCTGAGTTTAGACAACTTGCGAAGAATACTGATCGTGAACATGGGTACGGCTGGGTTCCGGCTGTTGTATAGTCGCCACGCAAAAGAGTTCTCGGTAACCAGAACCAACTTGTGTTCACTCCATCTTTCGAAATATACCCTTGCCACGTCATATTACAGATTTTACAACGAAAGGAGTTTCGACGAACGATGTGGTCAAGGAGAAAGGCAAGAACGCTGCTTCTGATCTGGAAAGTTATCATCTTGGCGATAGGCCTCCACACTACGGTGTAATGGAATCGGCTTGGGACTCGAGTACAACGCAAAGCTTCTCAGCATGGCTAATAGACAACTCCTCTGGTATGTGAGACGAATGTCCACAAATTATTCAATGAATAATTACACCCCTGTCAGACTTGTTTTCAGAATCAAGCGGCGGTGGATTGATTACAACGGCGACGAAGGAATTGAAGACGTGCAAAGAAATTGAAGACCGTGGTCACCCCCAAAAGCAAATTACTGTGTTTTCAAATAACGCAAACCTTCAGAAGAAAGGCCCGTCCCTATATGTTCTTCATTTACTTAATTGGGCCAATTTGCGTCACGCAAGACTGTGGCAGACAAGATCCAAGGCTTAGTTACCTGTCAAGCCCGACTCACCTCGCCACCGCGCTCATTGCGATATTTGTGGAGTGGGACAGGCTCGAGAGACGATGGGACGTCCGCTTCCAACTAGACATTCGCCGGGGGCCAAAGCGTCGGATCGAGTGGGTTGGGGGATATTTTCAGGCCCGAAGAGACCAACCAGTTGAGGCGTATTGGGGCGAGTAAGTAACGCTATCTTCACCTCCGATGGTCCACGCGTCGTTGGAACGACAACACCATGGCAGGGACGGATGGTACAGTACTAATGTGAGCAGCGTATTTCCATCATATCATGGCCTGGAGAGCCCAATCCACGAATCCGTTCCGTGTGTTGCCTGCGACCGTTGAGCTGACAGGACGGCAATAGGACGATTGCGAACATTTTTGCGGGCTTGCTGATCGATAGTGCGGATGGAGACGAGAACGACCACGAGAATAACGAAGCACATGACGACGATGCTGACGACAGGAAGGAGAAATTCATTCTCCACAATTGGAGAGTCTCAGACCACTCTTGCATATGCTACCCATCTAGAGTGGGAACTAGCAAAAGAAGTTGCGGAGTTTATTGCTGGCCAACAGCATTGCGTGGCGTTTATTCTCCTGTGCAAAACCACCATCCTAGTTTTGTTGAAGTTCACAGTTGCCTAAGGCCAGAATGAATGACAAAAAGGTCTTTGATATCGAGCACTGGGCTCTGATAGAAGGGAACAGCGTTTGCATATGTTTCAGGCTTCCTGGTAAGCCGATCGGCAAGAATATCAAATGCCATGGTGTTTGTCCGGAATGAAATCGATGACTTGCCCTATACACCAGGGACGCTTTTCCACATCACAACTCAGGGCGTGGTCCTTTACGCAAGATTCGCCGTCGAAGTTAACGGGTGTCGGCGAATTTGAGGTGGACGGCTACTCCCCGAGGTGTCAATATGCTGCAAAGAGACAAGTGGATGCGATAAATCGGCTGTGCGAACCAGAGGTACAACGTGCCCGATTTTTGACTCTGGCACTCAACCCGAAATACCACCTGCGGGGAGTAACCAATTACGTTGACCCCTTGGCATCTCCCGGAATTTTAATGAAGAGATCAAAGAAGTTATCGTAAAAAGCCTTTGATGCTCAAAGCAGCCACCTGGTCTATTGCACAGCGCCCATGTTTGACAAAATGGGCGACAAGCTTTCCAGGTGAACCTCCGACAATTCAAAGATATTTTGGAACAGGAAAAAAACACTCACCCTTATCGCACTCGCTTCAATAAACGTGTCGCTGGGTCTTCATGTCATGATGACAGCGCCAACCCATTTCGTAGCCGATTCTATTTGTGGAGGAGTATGTACAGAACCGGAAGTCGAGGTCGCGGACGAACTTGCAATCACTCAGGGTCTACCACCCTGTGTCGGAGAGCGGGGCGTTTAGCTGCGCCTTTCGAACCCAGAGCAAGTCCATCGAAGGCTTTGATGTGGATGCGGTGAGGTGATATCTAAGAGTCATCACATATAGGCCATCCGAACGAGGGTATCACCGTGGAGCCAACCAGCAAAACTTACCCCCACAAGCACATTTTGCTAGAGGCCAAGGTGGTTGAAATAGTTTCTGCCTAGAACAAACCGTTGATGGGAAGGACCCCATCAGAAGAACAAATGGGGAATATCAACGGCGACTGGTTTGCGAGCATAGAAAGCGGTGAAATTATTCCCGAGGGCGATGAAGTTGACACACGTGTGCTTCTCCGTGACTATGCGGAGAAAGTTTGACAGACCGAATATTGACAGCTCGAACATAGGCTGCGGCATAACCGCATCTGGGTAATGGGTTGGTGGCTCCAGGGGTCGTAACATAGATCATTTCACGTCTCGGTTTAGCGAGAGAAGTCGAAGGACGGAATAGGTCTCGGGAATTACCATATTAGGCAATCGCATATCCAATGATAATGATTTCCAGTGATGAGAGCTAAGCCTAAAATGGCAATTTCCCAACCAATGAACAGTCTCATCTCCCTTTTTCGGACGGAGAAGGCATTGGAGATTCAAAATAACCTATTGTCTTGTTTTGCGTAGGGCTATAAATATCGGGATCTTCTCATATAAACCAAATACAAGTTCATTCCTTCACTTCATTCTTTACCAGCTATATTTTGTTCCCACTCTTGACGCATTTGAAAAACCATCGCTGCGCTATGGTGCGCGGACATGATAATGCGTTTGAAGGACCAGGAGTATACCCCTCTGGCATCAAATTAACCTTTATCTTTGTGGCTCTCTGCTTGACTGTTTTCTTGGTCGCTCTGGTTTGTGCTGCATACTTACTCCACCTCTGTCACTCTTCGAGAAGGCCATACAGGATAGCTAATACGAATGCATTAAAAGGACCAAACTATCATTGCTACCGCCATCCCGACCATCACGTCCCAATTTCACAGCGTCGAAGATATTGGATGGTACGGCAGTGCATTTCTCCTCACGACCTGCAGCTTCCAACTTCTTTTCGGGAAGCTCTATACCTTGCTATCCCTAAAATGGACTTTTATTGGTGCCGTGTTGATCTTCGAAGCCGGCTCTGTCATCTGTGGCGCGAGCCCCAACTCTGTCGCCCTCATAATCGGACGAGCCATTGCCGGAATTGGAGGCGCGGGCATCTTCTCCGGCGCATTGATCATCATTGCCAAGTCGGTCCCCCTAGCGAAGAGACCTGCTTTTACAGGAATCATTGGCGCTATATGGGGTATAGCGAGCGTGGTAGGCCCCTTGCTAGGGGGTGCTTTTACAAGTCAGTTCCTTTTTTTCCCACACTTACTTCGTATCAAATTTGGTGCTAACGTCAGCTATCATTCTAGCTCATGTCTCGTGGCGTTGGTGCTTCTACAGTATGATACCCTTACCTCTTGATGTGATTGGCGTAGCACAAGCTGACTTAACCCCAGTTAATTTACCAATAGGCGCCATAGCCATTCCCTTCATACTTTTTTGCTTGCCTTCGCAGCCACCAGAAAAGCAGCTGAAGCAGGAAAGCTGGTCTGTGGTGTTAGGCCAGTTTGATCCCGTCGGAACGATCTTCTTCGTTGCAAGCATCATTTGTCTCTTAATCGCACTTCAGTGGGGAGGGAGCCAAGAACCTTGGAGCGATGGCCGCGAGATCGCATTGTTAACGGTATTCGGTGTACTGATTATCGCCTGGGCAGTAGCGCAATGGCGAGGCGGCGACAATGCTACGGTGCCGCTTCGTATTCTGCGGCAGCGCACGGTTGCGTTTTCGACCTTTTATATCTTCCTTGCGAGTGCGTCATTCGTTTTGCTGATTTATTATTTGCCGATTTGGTGAGCTCAGAAATATCCTCGCTACTTCCGGTGTAAACTTCTATTAATCATGAGGACATAACAGGTTTCAGGCAATAAAAGGCGATTCCGCAGACCAATCGGGCATTCATAACTTGCCAACGGTGTTGAGCGTTGGTAGGTACACCCCCTTTCCGACCCCCTCACTCAATTTTGGTGCAATGCAGCATCAACCGGAAGACTGAAGCGACTGACAAGGAATACAGTGGTATTTGCCATTGCAAGTGGACTAAGCGTCACTGTCGTGGGATACTATACCCCATTCATGATTGCAGGATCGATGGTAATGGCGATTGGTGCGGGCCTACTTCTCCTATTCGGAGTGGATATTCCCCTGTCGATGTGGTACGTGACTGCCAAAGCATACCATCCAGCGTTCCTTCGCTAACCCATACTAGGCTTGGATTTCAAATCGTCTTTGGCGCGGGCGCTGGTATTGGACTCGAACTACCGAATATTGCCGTTCAGACAGTCCTTCCCGAAGAGGACGTCTCCATCGGGACATCTTTGGTGGTCTTTGCTCGATCTCTTGGGGGCGCTATCTTCGTCTCTGTGGGCCAGAATATCTTCAGCAATCACATTGTCTCTGGCATGCTTGCCCGAGTTCCTGAATTGGACCCTTCCATTGTTCTTGAATCCGGAGCAACTGATCTACAGCAAACAGTTAGGCAAGCCACTTCGGGACAGGCCAATGTGGTAGCCCGTGTATTGGAGATCTACAATGAAGCCATCGTCCAAACATTTGTGGTTGCTTTGGTCTTAGCCTGTGTATCCATCATTGGTGCCTTGGGTGTGGAGTGGCGCACCGTGAAAAATTCTCCCAGGGGAATGGAGTCGGAACAAGTCGATTAAATGTAGGGGAAATGATTGGTCGCAGGACTTTGTGAAAGGGATTGTTTTGAGCTGTCGGCTGTCGGGAATTAATCTATTGAAGGCAGTAGAGCCAGCGTGGAGAACAATATCAATAGATTGGAGGAGGGGCTTAAGAATCTCTCTGCTCTCAGAAGTACCACGCCCGAATAGTAGTCTGTCACACCCCGACCGGCGATGAACTAATCAAGCATGTCAATGTTGAAGAATTCCCAGAACCAAGTATCAGATGCCACTGCAGGTCCAGATATTCCAAAGCTAGTATCCTCACTGTGCGTGACAGGATGGAACGGAGGTATAGCAGGTTGGATAAGCTCATCCAATTGGCACACAGGTCCATCAAGCGGTCTAGAATTGCCTGGAGTTGACTTATTTTCTGGCGCCTGAATAGCAGTAGAGGAGCCGCTGGGAGCCACCGCTGGTATCGGAGAAGCAGTGTTCAATTGCCCGTTGCCGGTCTTGGTTGGAATGCTGCTCATTGTTGGATCTTTATCTGCTTTAGATGGCCTTTTGAACTGCTCTATCAGTTGAGGCATGATCAGGAATGCTCTACTCAAAGCACTGCGTTCGTCCTCCGTTATGAGGCACTTTGAAGTGACGACCAGCTGCTCAAGGTACGCTTCCAGGCGCAACTTGTCAGCATGAATAAAGTCGCTAACTCCTTTTTCGAATGTCGTGATTGCTTTGTGTATCTTCATCAGTAGTATGACTGCGTATATCACGCGACCACCATAAATATGAGGTGGTAAAGTAAGCATTTCGGAAACGGAGAACTCAAGGAAAATATCCAGCAGTCCTTGTGACGCCATTATTATAGCGCGGATCATTGACAGATTAGAGGAACCTTGCATGTCAATGAAGCTACAAGTCTTCAAAGACTTCGCAGAAAAGGGGGCCTTGAACTCGTCGATGTTGTTGTTGACGTGTAAAGCCAGCTCATGCATGTACAGTGAGCTGGCAAGCCTGCCGAATTCAAAAAGAGCTAATCCATAGAAGTTTGTCAACCCTCTATACCTAAGCTCATCAGGTGTTCGGTTTCCAAAAACATACATCTTTCCAAATGATGAAATTGGCCGAGAGCTAGCCAGTCGATTCGAGTCTGAATGGTTTGAATTATCGACATTGTCTTCGGACTTGGCGCAGATACTGCTTTAACAGGATTGCTCAAGCATAGCTCTTGATCTATAATATGACAAAGAAGCTCCGTTGTTACAAGCTTGCAAAGGAAGGCATCTGTAGGTGATGCATTGTCTCGTTGCAAGTCGAAAATGTAGTCGTCGAGCTTTGCGAAACAGGGGGTTGGATTGGGACGTCTCAAAATCAAAGAAAGACTAGGAGTCGGTCAAACCCAGTAGTGGCTGGAGCTGTGAAGCCATAATTACATACCTTGCGGATAGAAGAAAACAGCTAAGCCAGGCTCGCTGCGCCTCCACACGACTCCATTTGTCTTGAGCACTACTAGCCAGTCTGAGATTGTCCAGTCCAAGATCCATAGCCATAGTTGTGGAGATGGAAGCCAGCTGATTCTGAATCATTTGTGTGTAGGTATCAGGTGCTCTATACCAGAACGACACGACCTGGAGCGCTTGAACAAGTTCGAGCGATTTCTCACCTCGAACAATAGCAGTGTCTGCTAAACAACCTCTGACTTCGAGTGCCAATTCTCTCTGCTTAGCAAGCGGGCAGTATCCAGCACAGGCAACGCTAAGTATGGATAGAAACAGCAAAGGCTTGGCATTTCGCACATGCACAGGCGTTGTCCCGGGCGGAAACACGACAATGGGGCATTTCGGAGCAAATTTTGTTACATACTGAATAAATACTTGTTCAGCTATCTCAGGAGTAAGGATAGAGTCAATCTTATTGTCAAGCTGCTTGGTCCAAATGCGAGATGATGGACTAGAAGCTGTCACAATCAATCAGCTGTGTTTTCTCAGGACAAAAGGACGACAAGCTTTAGAGACTCACGTAGATTGGTTTCGGTAAATCCCACCGAAAAGGCCGTAGATGGGTCCGTCTCCGAGTTGAAATCAATGCCAAGAGCCCCTTCTTCAGACGGACCGTCAGAGCCTTTCCCCGAATGCTCGACAGGAGATGGTCGGGCTGAATTATACCCAATACACTCCTTATTCTGCCGCAGGCACCGGCGGCATTTATCCTTGGCTGTAGTAGGAGACTTTTCGCACCTAGTTTTGGAGATTTTGCACTCAATACAGGCGGATCCGCGCCGTAATTGGCGCCATTGTCTGTTTTTAGGTCAGACGTGCTTGGAGTTCATGATCTCATCTGGCTGACGGATTCCCAACCTTCTGCTACAACGAGCCGTAAGATCAACTCTAGGAGCGCCCAGGTCATGTTCGCGAATTTTCCCTGCATGACTTGCTGAAGGCGTAATAGGTAGTCTCTCATTAGAAGATGCTTGGCCGCGAAATCTCCTGGGTGAATCGTGCTGCACATCGCCCTTTTGCCGCCTGGAGGACGGTTGGGACACAGCAGCAGCTATTGGGACTGGGGCGGAGCGTTCACTAGTGTTTTCCAGCCTGAACTTGAGGAAAGCCATTACGGGCTCATATGGTCGTTGAATGCTGTTGGAAAAGTACTTCGTCTTGTGTTGCATTCAATCGTTGTCAGGCAGCAGATAATCCTAGTCACCGCCGAGTCCCCGACTGTGGCCGCGGAAGATGACTAAACCGCTTATATCATCGCCTTGCTTGACCGGACCGATCATGCAACCGATCAATATGAACCATATGATTTATGACGATCCTGAAGCCCCTGAAATTGCATAAATATCGGCTTCTTTATCGTGTAGTTAGAAAGAATTAAGACCTTCATTCATTTAAATGTGACTTTCCATCTCTCTCGCCAGCTGTAGTCCCTGGTAGACTCCTAGGAGCTCTGCATCAAAGACTTCTTGTCCTGTCGATTAAGTAGTTGCTGTACCCTTTCTAGCCGGTCTTTCTGGCCCTGCCACCAGATCTCTACCCCATATAGAGCTACTGACAGCACTGCGGCTAGCTGGATCCTGCGTACTAGGCCTGGGGTAAGCCCTGTCTGCGACACAGAGACTGCACCTGGGTTTCCGCTGTGCGGGCCTTCCGTAGGCACGTATTGTAGTAGAATTTTAGATTAATGCCTGCGTCCAGCCATAAACCTAGCTACCGGGTAGCTTCTTGGTTGAATGAGACCCGGTGTCCCTCGACCACTACGCGGGCTCGCTGAGTCTGGACCCTGAGTTCCTGGGCTCATTTTCAGGTGAAGAGGACCGCCTCTGTTTTCTATGCGTCGAACTGGACTTTATGCATCTGGCCCTAGCTGATCGCTATCTCTGCTGCCTGCTGTAACGTTTCGCACGTTTCTCTTACCGAATACGCTGGGGCTAGAACACCTATATCACCTGCAAATGATAAGGCCTGAACCCCTGGCACTGGTGTCTCTATAGCCTCAAAAACCTCGCTGAGATAGATGATGAAGAGGATTGGGGACACTGGTGATCCCTGGGGGACACCTGAATTGATAGGCTGTTCCGAGCACTGAATATTATCGATAACTAGCTGAACCCTTCGGTAAGTTAGAAAGGATTGTACTTAGCGTATCAGGTCCCTATCTAGATTAAGCTCCATCCTCCGGGCTATCAGTCTGGCCGTGTTAGCATGACCAAACGCTCCTTTTATATCGAGAAAGAGGGCTCCCATTAGCTGTTTCAGGCCCCACGCCTCATGCGTTCAATGTATCAGACAGGCCTTGGCGTCTACAGCACTTCGGCCCTTTCTGGATCCCATTTGACCCGGGTGTAGGCCCTGGGTGATTTCACAATGATTAGCGATAGCTTCTGCTGCCACCTTTTCTACTACCTTTCCTCGGCAGTTGAGTAGGCTGATTACCCGATAAGCCTTGACTTTTGTACAGTCTGGCTTATTCGGCTTCCGTAGCAGAATACCTTTAGCTATTTTCCATGTCTCTGGATGGACGCCTAGCCTGAAGCACTGCCTTACCAGAGCTATTAGCTGGGGACTGTCCCAGTTCCATAGTAGTCGTAGAGTTCTAAAATTCAGCTTATCGATACCAGGGGTCTTTTGAATAGCTTGATGAAGCAGTGCCGCTTGATAGCCTGACTTCGGACACGATATCGCGGGCATCATTCGCGGCACACATTTGCTAATTTCAACAAACAACAACGCGGGCGACGGGTTGATAGCATCTAACTTCGGACATGATGCTGCGGGCATCATTGTTATTAGGGATGAAGATTTCAAAGAATTCGAGACCAACTCATGGATCCCTGTCTCTAAGCTCGCCACTGCTCTAAGAATCATGGGGGTAGTCAGTTATGGAGATGGCTACCAGCTACAACCAACAGTTATGTCGGGACACGAAGAACAATCCAACGAGTTTAGCCTCCAGTTGAGAACATCACATCCAGACAGACTTCTGAAGCTTAATTACCCTCCCGTTAAACTGACAGGGCAGTTTCGATTCAGAAATTGCTTCATCGAGTGGGTAAACCATACAGCCTACAATAGAGAGCTGCGCAGCAAGCCAAGCGTGGATAAAATCATCATCCTCTCCTCTCACCCCCTACCTCTACTTCATCCACCATGCCGACTAAGGCCATTTTACTGGCTGAAAACGCCGCTCTGCACAATGAGAATCTGTTTCTTCATAACAATGTTCAAAGTGGACATGAATTTTTGAACCGCAATACAGGAGACGCTTAACCTCAACGTCCTGCGTTTATTGTCGACCTTTTTTACATACATTGTAATAATCATCGAAAGCTCATCATGTGAAATCGGGGAATCCTCTAATTCTCGACATAACAACGCTCACTGACGGTTCTGTTTCGAGATAGCCAAGGCCAACTACGCACACGGAGACTATCAGGGAAAGGACATTACCATTGTGACTCATTACACCGCACAGGTTGTCAGAATAGGACAGAGCCTTTACAGGATGGTTCACAGGTCGAAGACGAAGGACGATCTTGCCCTGGTACGTGGCTGTACAATCCGACCACGAGACACTCGAGATGCCAGAGGGGGGTTCCTGGTCATAACTGGCAGCTGCGCATAGGGACCTCATGCCGGGACCGGCAAGTCCCTCAAGATTGACAAACAGATACTCAACAGTCCCACATGCATTTCCCGCAGCTATCCCTCTCAGAGGAATGCCGCCATTGTCGGAGGCCTTGATCGGCAAAACAAAACACACTGACCCCACGGTGGTCACGGATTTGAACTGCTTGTTCGGAAAGAACCATGCAACCGGGGATTTCTCCCATGGATCAAATGCCAAATGTAGCAACGGCTAATTCAATGCAGAGATGGAATCAATGCTCATGACATACTATTGGGTCATCTCGGAGGCCAACCAGGCATCAGACCTTGAGTTGCCAACTGCGATAAAAGATCAAATGTCTGTTTGACCCGAATGACGGTTGTGGTAATTGGTTTATTACGAATCTTTTATCGAATTCGACCACCCTGTTTCAACCTGTGCTGCTAAAAATGGCCCGTTTCATCCATGTCTCTCACGTCATTTACGCCTGACGTCCGCCAAAATGACTACCATGGCAAGACTTCAGGCGGAGACTGACAATTTACGCGCTCGCATCCACTACTTGAACGAATAACTCCAGATCGTCCAACACGCTCTCTTGGAGGCGGAGCAGGAGTTTGTCTTTGAAATGCACGTCAGCAATGAATTGAGAATCAGAGATTTACCTCCCTCCATTGATCTGGCTCGGTCACTTTTGTAAACGCGAACCCAACAGTTCTTTGATCCATACCTCCAGTGAATCTGATACGGAAGCTGATGACTCTCGCCACCCGGAATATTTCGAGGCACACGGTTTTCTTCCGGTATGGGCAAAGTAATCACTTGCATCATCTCAAAGCACATAGAGGAACACTTGGACGTCGATGGAGAACGCAGGACTGCAAGGGTCATCGGTCCTCTTAGAAATATAGCCTGGCTATCTGGGCTCGATTAACTCGTGGAAGCCATCGACAGCTCAGCTTATACTATCAAGGACAGCATCGAAGTGGTTCCGATCGGCACCTCCCTTACTGATGCGCTGGCGTTCCCCTACAATTAGAAGCCGGAGACCAGTGCGGTTATCTCGCAATCCACCATTCCGCGGTAGGTTTTCCAGAATCCTCGGACGAAATACTGGGCACTGACATGGTGGGGCTTTACAAGGCCGTTGTGAATGATGAAACCCGGGACTATGACGATGCCCTGCCACTACTACACCCCACCCTCTACCTACCCTTGGCACAGTGAGGGCACTTCTTGACTTTGGTTCTTTTCGATCCAAATTTTTTCCAGATCTTCTATGTCAGCACACGCGCTATGTCGCCGCAAAACCCTCAAACCAAGATACGAACTCAGAGACCGGCGCAGTCATACCGGTTATCCTCGGGGCACAAGGGTTGTTCTGCCATATTCGAACAGGAATCCTAGCACATACTGATCTTGGCTTCTTAGGAGTGGCTTGTTGTTACCGTTATCCATGTCATTAGCTAGGAACCCTCTCATCTCGCTCAGCGAGAACATCAGAATGAACCTTCCACCTTACTCCTCATCATCTTCCGCCGTAGGCGTTTTACACTTGTTTTTTCCTCGGCATTTTGTGGAAGATGGGGATATTGAGGGCAGAAGTATCAGAATTAATTTTGATCCATTTCTGCAGTTGCTGTCCGTCGAAATGCAGAATGTCGTTTGGTGTTTTTTTAAGGCAGAGGAATTGACGGCTAGGATTTCAAGGGAGCCCAGGTTCGCGATATCAAAATCCTTTGCGCCTAAATCATAACTAATGAGAGGTATATAGGTATATACTGTTAAGACGGTGTTCCGAGCCCTTTGACTCCGTTGCCCAATGGGGACTAGTGTCTCGCAAAGAGGCCCCCTAGATAGGGATCCTCAATCCTTTCTGTTGCCCTTTCTCATTTTCTTTTCGCGACGAATGATGATTTTACGCCTCTGCCTTTATGATATGACGATCCTGGGATCTGGAGTTTGTTTCTGCTTTCGTGACATGATCTGATGATGTATTTAACGACGCAGAAGTCGTTCTTGGAAAACCCCCATGTGTTGCACGCAGCCATGGAACGGCGGATCTGCCCTAGGTATTGGCCGTATAGCCAGCCATAGTAGCCGGTGGCCTTCATCCATCGGAGGACCGCATCGAATTGAACTTCTTCAACCTTCCCTACATCTTTAGCTAGCATTCTGATACATTAAGATGGCCGGTCATGTCCATATGATTCTATCTCATCGAGTGCTGTGGCGGACGGAGGGGAAAAACCATGTTCTGCAGTTGCTCGTTGGGTCTTATGGATCTTTTCGGAAAATGAAGATTGACATGGGAGATATGAGTCTTCGCACTGCCTCATGGATCCCGATCATGAACAATTATCCTGTATTCGAGCCTATTGTAGTAGCGCCTGAGGTCTCAGGCAACCTCGTTGGCCAAAGACTCCCACAAATCCATTCACTTCCTTCTTGTTTTACCTTGAGTTCAGTGAATGGTCCCCCCTGTTTTCTTCCAACTTCCTGCATCTTTCCCGTCTACCTCCCATCATCCCCCCCCCTAACCCTTTCCCATCACTCTGGTTTCCATATCCCCCTTCCCTATCTTCTTCTTTCTCACCCGACACCGGTCATCGTCATCAAGAAAAAATGGCGCCCAGTCAGCCTCTCCTACAACTCATATATAATCACATCGCTTTCCCCCCGCAGCTCCCAGGAGCGCAGGATCCACGCGGGGAAAATGTGAATGGTGACTTGACACGTCGGCTGCTTGATGCGGTCAAAGTGCTCAGTGACAGCAGCGAGATAGAAAGGTTGCCTACGTGGAGAGTCATTCAGAAGTCATTAGAGACCTGCATCTTAGTGAACGAAAATGGCTACATCAACAAGGCACGCCTGTCCAGGGCCTTCAAGGACCTGAAGCCTGACCATGCCATAATATTGCACATTGTGGAGCAGAATTCCTGCGTAATGATACGGCAGTCTGAGTGAGTTGATCATCCCTCGCATTTGAATCATGAGCTAACTTGGGAGTACTTAGAGCCAATGAAGATTCTGTGATCTTCGAGGCTTTCGAAACATCCCCGTCGGCAGAACAGACCCTTGCGGCTCGTGGAGCACTACAGTGGGATTTTCCAGGCGCAGCAGCCTCTCTGCCTCTGGATGAGTTTCGAGACTCCAATTTGCAAGATAATATAGCTTCATTCCTTGAGAAAGCCAGCGTTGAGCTGCTCGATGAATTCACACCGAAGACTAGAAAGGCTGGGGTTGAGGTCTGTGAGACAAGGGACACCGTCGACCCCGCGATAATCACCCAGTTCTTCTTTACACTCCTGGAAACCAAGGGTAGTCGCGCAAACCCCCTACTGCTACGCAAACGAATCAAGGATGATGTTATCTGGGATGACTCCGAGCTACCCTGGCGCCGGAGCCCTTACTGGCTTCTTCTTCGCGTCTGCATCCAGCGATTACTCTACTTCCATCTTGGTGAAACTGTGGGACGTTTGTTGTACAAATTCCTCATATGCACAGTGATTGCACGGTTGCTAGACGATGTATCAGACAGGTTAGACCCCGAGCAAGGCGACTTTCTTAAAAAGAAGCTGTGTCGCCGTCTGGCAAAATTAGCCACCGATCAGGAGAACTCGGCAGTGCGAGATGAATATCAGCACATGATCGAAGTATTGGGGCCAATCTACCACAGGTCTATCCTAGGAATGACCAGGGCTACGGAAGCAAAATGGAGTGCTTTCAAATCTCGGTCTATCCGAAAGGTGCCACGTTTGCCACGATGGGCTGGGAACAGTGACCTTCGATTGTCTCTACCGAACAGCGGTCCCTATCTTCAGGGCGTCATCAACGAAACTCAGTCAAGCAGGTCCGAGCAACGCACAATTGACAGGAGTGTGCTCGATCAGGCCAAGGGCACGCAGCAATTTCGTGATTTGACCTCGGATTATTGCCTGCTCGCTCAGACCGAACTCGAGATAGAAACCAGAACGCATAACCTGCCTGTTGGTCGCACCAGCGCCGCAGGCCTGTGCCTGAAATATGCGCATGAAATCGATGAATACTTGAGCCTAGTTGGGGATGCATATGCCTCAAACCCCGAACAAATAAGCATTTTCATTCTCACTTTGTTCGAACTATGGGTTGACATGGACATGTCAGCTACAGTTGCCTACCCGGTTCTAAAAGATTTCCATCCGGTGTTTGATCCCAAACTGCTCGATGTCATCTTACTTTCGCGGCTCACAGACCTGGAAAGACTCCAACGTATTCAGTCTTATCTCCACGATCGCTGTAGCCAGGCAACGGCCGGTGACACGACCATCTTTTCAGACCCAGCTCCGGGCTGCTTTGCAGATAAATTTTCTCATCAGGAAAATTCGTCCATTCTAGATCTGCTGCTCTTGACGATTGAAGCTGCCTGTCTAGTCTCCAGAAAGAACAAGGAAAGTGAGCTAGAACAGGTCAATGCTCAGTTCCACGATCTTACCGAGAAAAGAGCAACGAGCATCTGCACAGAAAAGCAGAGCGAGGATGGAAGCCACGACATCAAGGGATGCAACTACTGCTATTACCTGAGAAGACGTAAACGTTTGAAGATCCAAGTCCATGAGGACTTTCTTCCACCTGCACATAAAGTGGCTGAAAGGAGGGCAGTTGCATTTGAACTGGAAATGCCGAGGGCAATTGCTGCATACCGCAACACCACATGGGAGATTTTAAACACTCTCTGCCCACAGGCAGAACAACCGCCTACCCAAAGCCCCGAATGTCTCCTGGGAGATTATTCGCAACTTCAGAGATACAACAAGTACAAAGATGTCAAAGGGCTCTCTCTGGCCTCCCATACGAAGTCATATCTGGGGACTCATTACAATTGGAAAAGGCTCCCAGCTGACACTGGAATGGTCCTGATGCCCTTGGGGTTAAGGTTCTCTTATTTTGACTCAAAACGTAACGTGTGGGTTCGAGAATTTCCTGCACCCTTGACATTGGCCCATCATTTCAAAATTGCAGTGCCCCCAAATAGCCCGTTTGCGAACCTCTACTCCTCCAGCGAGTTCACAGCGGACGGACCAGGTCCGTCTTCGTACGAAGCAGTTGCAAGCCTCAGCGAGTGTCCTTCGGATCTAACTGTCCATGAATTTATCGCTCATCAAAATCTCAGAGCGGGCAAGTGCAGACGCTGGCTGGTGATTCTCGCTGAACTGGGCTCTTCAAATGTCAACTTCAGTGTCCAAGGTACAGCTGACCTCTTTCATCAGCTAGTCCTTCAAACTGGTCCTAAATCAGACAATCATGGCGAAGCCTTGCGAACTGTTCATGCCTTCTTCAATGATTTGGCTTTTTGTCGGAGACTTATTGAAAATATTCACCAACACATTGAAAGTATTTCCGCAAATTGGCGTGAAACGACATACATGGAGTCAATGCTGACGATGGCCATCCAGCTTTATGCTCTCGGCCCTCGTGAATTGGCTGAGGGTCTCTTGTTGCGGATTCGGCGCGTGACACTGTCGTGGGTTATTGTATTACGCAAGGAGACACGAAATGCTCGGGAGATAGATATGACGGAAAGATTCGCCCGCTTTTGTTTCCTATCTGCGCTTCTTTGCCGGAGGACATTTTATCCACATGCCTACAATGATGTTAGTATGAATGCGGCGAGTTTCATGTGCTTTGTTGAAGCTACAATCGCTATGCAGGAAAGCCTGGTGGTTGACCTCAGAAAATTCTCAACAGCAACAAAAAACCTGCTCATTCGTGACATCAAGATGGTCGCCAGAATGAAATCAACTCTCATGCTGTCAGTGTCAACCTATCCCACGAGCCTACAGGCAGCCTTGGATGCGGCATGGCCAGAAGCAGACAATCGCCCGCGCAAGTATAACGGCTGGGAGATATTCCATGACGATTACAAAGGATGGGTCACTTCAACCGTACAGGGTACCTCGAGCACCGAACCCCAGGAGTTTTGCTATCATTTGCTTGAGGGTCATTTTCTTATTAACGGCCAAATCATTGGTAAACTGCCACCTGACATCAGTGACTCGGAGATTCTCAAGGATCTTTTTGGGAACCAACGGCTCTTTGCCATGCCATCAAACCTCTCTGGGATGAGCTATACGCTAGCTTTAAGCATCAAAAATCACCAGATCCATATTGGGTATCGAAGACAGGCCTTGATAGTGCGAGCAATCCATAATGCACAAGAAGGCCTAGAAGTCCTAGAATTGATACCCCGACAAATTTTCATCAATGGGCAAGATCGTGATCTACCAGCATCGGTAATCTGTGATTGCGTCCACTGGCTTAATTCAAGATTGAGGACACTTGAAATCAGACGTAAGCCAGGAATCTGGTACAGCAGACCTGGCAACTGGACTATCGACCTCAAGTCTCGAATAGCATCTCGGAGAACGGTCTCTCTTGTTGATCCACACAGCCAGATATTTCAACGGATAGTGGAGATGTTTAGCGGCTTTGAGGAGCCTCAAAATTTGACTGTGTTTCAGCCCAGTGATAAGACACTTTCTATCGAGATCAAGCGCATGGACCTGAGCTTTTATGTCAACAGCAGGCAGCTTTTGCACTGCAAGCAGCTTCGTGCTGAGATAGATACGAACCAGGACGTTGGCACCTGGTTTGGCTTGGAAAGCATGCTGGTACTCCGCAACCCCTCGCAGCGCATGATCATCACCCCCATGGGCCCAATCAAGTATCGACGACAAGGAATGCATGTCGCCATTCGACTAGACAACGATGGGAGGTATGCCAGATACATTGTTGACAAAGATCTCGGACGACTGCATTGTCCCCCAGTGCCACAGCTCATGGAAATCAAAGCGCGGCTGCACGCGTTTACTTCCTCGTTTGTACCAGATCCTCTCACAGGCCGAACAGGTACCGAAGAAGCACTCTTATGTCTTCAATCAGGGTGTCTTCAACCTTGGTCCCCTATACCGTTTCTGTACGAGCGGCTGGAGATTATATCGAGTCTCACACCCCGACGCGAATACTATCCCAAAGACAAAAGGTCTCAGCAGACCGTCTCCTGGGATCCTAATTTGACAGTTACCATGCAACACGATGCCTTTGAAGCCCTAGTCAAAGCGATCGTGAGGAAATCGGAGAGATTGTCATTATTCAGCAAGGAAAGTGAGAGTGTTGCCGAAGACAATGAGCGCCCAGGCAATGATTTGACTGCAGCCCACCTGCGTAAGCGAGCTCAGTGGCGACGGTCTATATACGAGCGTCCGGACACCATGATCACGCAGTCAGTCTCCGCACTGGACTTCCCATATATTTCTCGAGACCATTCATCACTCTCTCAACGAGTTTCCAATGTTCGCGAGGTTGCGGAATTATTGACACAGTGCCCTTTGTCCATGAATACCACGCCAGATCTAACGGGTGCTTTACAAGGCCGCTCGATGATTGGGGGCTATGCAAATAGATTTACACCGCACGTCTTGCAGGAATGCATTACTACTGACCTCGCTGTGGAATGGGGCGGATTGGTCAACATGTGCAAAGACTGCCCCCCTGACAAATCCTGCGACCTGATGTTCCATCTGGGCGTTGTAGCATTCAGGAATCATATTGACATGACAATGATCCGGACATTGGTAGCGTTTTTCCTCTTTGATGATCTCAAAAACCTGGAATATCCGCAATGCACGTCATTTGAAAAATTCGAGATCAACGCAAAGCCCACGACTCGCGTCCTGTTGAGTCTCACTAAGCACTTCTGCACTCGGTTCGAAGATGTATGGGAAGCGAGGAATAATGGGAAACATCGTGATAAGCGCCGCCGCGAAGTTGCTGGGGAGGACCACGAAGTGAAGTGCGCCATGGAACATGAGAGATTTGTTGCTTTTCTCACTGCCCAGTGGCCTTGCAACAGGCCAAGCTCTGCCGGATTTGAGACGACGTACCTGGATGTTGAAAAGTCGATCGAGGCAGTTGCTCCCGATTGGTTGCGCCTACACAACAATAAACTGTTCGCGGATCATTTGAAAGACGTTCAAGCCATACTTACCCGGCTGTCTTTTTTCGATTACCATGTGCCTATTGGGATACCTCCCTGTTATCGGAGTGAAGTGTTCGGACCAAAGCATCGTCCTTACAACATCCCCTCCCTTGGGAAGCAGATTCTACAAAGACCTGTCTCAAAGTCAAGATCGTTGGAAAGCACCAGTCATCGCATCAAATCCCTATCTAGGAAATGGTGGGCTACGTTTTGTCAGCCATCAAACGTCGAGCTTTACCAAGAGGATATACCAGAAACGGGTGAATTGGAGAGCATTATAGGCAGCTTCATGCAATCGGACTGTCCTGTACGATCTACCTATGCTCGGGATTTGGAGAAAAGTATCGCTGCACTCAATTCGCCAGACAGATATCGAGAACAGAAGATGAGAATAAGGTCAAATACGGATCTTTTCAAGACAAGGCTTCCAAATCTCAAAAACGAAATCTTCTCGGCTCGTGGAATAATTTCTCAAATGCACGCAAAGATATCCAGTGTACTCTCATGCGAATATCCGGGAGCATCGTGGTTACAAGAAGGCAATCTTTGGCCATGCGTATCACTGATGGCTCTTCTTGAGCACATTCGCTCAACATCCCACTGTGTGATCGAACCTAATGTGAGAGCGGCCCTCATTTCCTATGGATTGGCAATCACGAAGCTACAGCAGCTCCTTCGGATGGAAGAGGCATTGATGAAAAAGGACTGGGCGAAATTGTGGCAAGAATATACCAATACCGGTCATACAAACTGGCATCCTTCTCAAACCCCCGACTGGCTTTTGCTAGAGCTCGATTCAAATATCCAAATACGTGAGGATCAAGTCATTGTTGCCAGAGAGATGGTGTCCCCAAGCTCGCAGTCCAATTCTGTCTTACAAATGAACATGGGACAGGGGAAAACATCTGTTATCATGCCAATGGTTGCATGCTTACTTGCTGATGGAAAGAGACTAATCAGGCTCATTGTTCCAAAGTCGCTCCTATCGCAAACTGCACAGATCTTGCAATCTCGTTTGGGGGGTCTTCTAGGCCGAGAAATCACCCATGTCTCATTTTCCAGGCAGACACCGACAACATCAACTCACATGCGAGAGTACGAAAAGCTTCATTACGAGATGCTAAGTCGGGCGGGTATCATTTTGGCTGTACCTGAGCACATCCTATCATTCAAGCTCAGTGGGCTGCAAAGACTTTCCGACATGAACACCGACGAGGCTGCCGAGATGGTTGCAATCCAATCTTGGATGGCCAAGTCATGCCGCGATATTTTGGATGAATGTGACGTTACCCTTGCCGTGAACACGCAGTTGATCTATCCGAGTGGCTCCCAGCTCAATGTTGACGGCCACCCAAGTCGGTGGGAAGTCACCATCACGGTGCTCAGTCTTGTTTCACATCACATCCCCCACCTCGCTCGGGAGTATCCACACAGCATGGATATCCTGCAAAGAACTGCGGCACAGTTTCCTGTGGCGTATTTTCTCAGAAATGATGTCGAGAATGCGCTCATTCAACGAATCGTCGATGACGTGTGCCGTTCCCGGACTTGGATCCTGCCTATGCGGAACTGCACGGTCGAAGAACATCATGCGATCAGGACTTTTATCTCTGAAGAGAAGACCAGCCCCGAGGTTCTGGAATGCATTTCTGGACTTTTCCATAATAACCCAAGCGCCCAGAAGAATGTTTACTTGCTCCGTGGGTTACTTGTGCATGGAATTTTGCTACTGTGTCTGAAAAAGCGCTGGAATGTACAGTATGGGCTCCATCCAGGCCGTGATCCTATGGCTGTCCCATTCCATGCGAAAGGTGTCCCATCGGAACAGGCCGAATGGGGTCATCCAGATGTCGCAATCATTTTTACTTGCCTGTCCTTCTACCACCAAGGACTTGACGAAAAGCAATTCCAGCAAAGCCTGCGGGCGGTTTTACGATCCGATGATCCATCTCTGGAGTACGACAAATGGACACACGCATCCGCAACGTTACCAGAGAGACTCAAACACTGGAACATCATCAACTTCGATGATAGTGCTCAATTTCAGGAAATCTGGCGGCATTTGCGATTTACGGTTGTTGCCATTAACCATTTTCTGAACAACTTCGTCTTCCCGATCCATGCAAGACAATTCGCAATCAAGCTGCAGGCTTCTGGGTGGGATGTTCCTCTATTTAATAACTCTATTGTCGCCTCGCTCGAGAAATGTGCCAGTCGTCCGGGACTCACCACGGGGTTCAGTGGCACCAATGACAACCGCAGGCTCCTTCCTCTCACAATCCAGCAACATGACCTCGATGGCCTCTCACATACGAATGCCGAGGTGTTGACGTATCTACTCCAGAAACGCAACAGACATTACGAAGTGGCTACAGGTTTCGATGGGAAAAGGCTTTCCGAGGTAGATCTTTTGGGGCACCTACAAAAAAGAAAAATCCGTGTTCTCATCGATGCGGGCGCCTACATTCTAGAGATGAAAAATCGCGCACTCGCCAAGGCCTGGCTGGAGAAAGACACGAAAGCTCAGGCTGCCGTGTATTTTGGGGTGGACAATAAAGCCTGGGTGGAGTTTAGGGAAGGGAAAACGATCCCACTCCTCGCAACGCCGTTCGCCGATAACTTGAACGATTGCCTTGTCTATCTTGATGAGGCTCACACACGGGGGACCGATCTGAAATTACCTGCCGATGCCAGAGGAGCTCTCACTCTTGGCTTAAAGCAGACGAAAGATAAGACTGTGCAAGGTATGTTTGCCGCCCATGTATATACTTTTCAGTGTCTCTAACCGTCCTTCTCAGCTGCAATGAGGCTACGACAGTTAGGCAGCACGCAGTCAATCACATTCATCGCCCCTCCCGAAGTTCATCGCAATATTCTCGACGTTTGCAAAAAAAGGCCGATGGATTTCCTGGACTCCTCCGACGTGATCACCTGGTTACTTGATCAGACGTGCACGACGAACGCAGAACTTCAGCACTTGTACCTGGCCCAGGGCGTGGACTTCTGTCGGCGTACAGAAGCCGCAGCACGGAACAGCAGCTTCCTTACGAATACTACGGCTAGACAAGCATATTTGAAAGTCCTGCGCCAGCCAGAACAACAGACTCTAGCACAGCTCTACAAGCCAAAAGGTACTAGACAGATCGCTAGTCAGTCTTCATCAGACAAGAAGGGCCTCGTCTTGAGTGGAAAAGTCGCCACCTTCATCCAAGAGTTGCGGAGCAGAAAGGAAGAGTCCAACAGTTCTTTCGGTCATGTCACCAGCACAGCGCTGGAAGAGGTCGAGCAGGAACGTGAAGTTGCTTTTGAGATCGAGGAAGAACGAGAGATTCAAAGACCCCCGCGTATGGGAGCGCTCGAATTCCCCGGACTCAGTGAATCAATCCGTAAATTCATATTAACCGGTCTGATCGATCACGAAGGGATTATTAAGGCGTGGAATGTCATACAAGCCACTCAGTTAGCGGAAAAGCACGAGATTGAAGCTGACTCACTTTTACCTCATCTTTACGTTTCCGTGGAGTTCACCAGAACCATCAAATTGAGAACTGGCAGAAAGAACGACAGCTTTATGGTATTCTTCCCTGTTTTGATTTAAGACCTCCGTTATATCGCATTGTGTTGAACTAACTATACCCCTTCAATAGCGCGGCGTGAATTGGCTTCTGGTTCACATTGACACAGCAACTGCAGTTGTGGTCATTCCGGAGGAGGCAGAAGACATAATTCCTATTTTACGAGGAATGGAAGCGTCTTCCGTACATCTGATACTCTATGCAGCCCCGTACACCAAAAGAATGCTCCAGTTTGATCGGTTGGATTACTATGCCATTCCAAATCTTCCGACCAACTGGACACCTCCACCCTGGCTTCCGCTCGAGCTCGGCCTCCTCGCCGGGAGGCTCTACTTTGACTTTGCGAGCTATGAGACCATTCTGGATGGACTTCATCTGACTAAGGAAAGGTTGTTGGGTCCCAACGAGGAAACAGCTCACGCCATTCAAGCACGCACAAAACGTCATCTTAGTTTCCTACACGAGTGGCTGGCTCTCCGTCGCCAGGGGCAAGACGTCTCACACACGCCCATGGGGTACGTTGTTCAAGAGTGGCCGCTTCGCAGCGACCATCCGTTCTTTCAAACCAGGAGAACGACGACGCAGATCATGGCTGATGCCAGAGATCGACCAACCAGTCCTACCGGAAAAAGCGTCGAGAGTGACGAGGATGAGTTCTATGACAGTGGTGATGAAAGGATGGACATGTTTGACGATTCGTACGACGAAACCGAGGGAAGTGATGCAGTTGTTGTTTCGTGAAGGGACAAATTTGTTGTGTGTAGAGTAGATTCCGGTTCGGCTGAAAGCCCTTGCAAATACAGTTGATTTGCTGTGTGCGCTCTTTTCATAAATTTATCGGAGAATATCTTTTTGTTTCAGTGATTCCATCCTCAGACGGAGTGGTTTGCTGAAGATGATCGTCTGGGTGCTATGGAGGAGCTATCTTGAGACTATTGGCAGTTAGTGGACTGACCCAGTTCCAGTTCCAGTGAAAATCCCATGTCATGCACGCTTCAAGCGGGCATAAACCCTCGGTCAAAGCTCCCTAATCCGGTATAGATAGGCGACAGAGAAGTGAAGAAACTCCATTAAAGATTGGAAACCGGAAACTAACGAAAAAATGCCTCGGATTAGGGCAGCGCAGGTCGTAGGGCCACGAACCCCGATAATCGGACAAGTGCCGACCGTGGGACAGCTAGACGAGGAAACCATCAAAACAATCAACAATGCCACTCTCATCTTATCAGATCCGAGCCGGGCGGAATTAAGCTTCGGGCCTAGACGCGCGCACGGGTTTCATTGGGAGAGAGACGTGTGTCACACAGATTAGATCGGCACGAGGACGGCGAACGCTGACTGGATACAATCCTGGAAGCTGGACATGGATGTTCGTTGCGTCGACTGCCCGCCTTAATTTCCTTTCCTTGCATTCACTGGCCATCTCCGTGCCGTATCCGTCCCCTCCCTCTCATTGCTTTTTTTCTCTCTTCCCCTCTGGGTTTTCTCGTTTCTTTTTTCTTGTTCGGTCGTCTGTCCTTCTCGTATTTCGTTAATTGTGTGATACTGAACATTGGAAAATTGTTGTTTGGAAGTTATTCTTACTATCTTTACTTGACTGGGACTGCCTACAGAACCGATCAGCCCTCATGGGTGTCTCCGATTTAATCCGCGGCCGCAACAATACGCAGCTAGCGCAGAGCGTCGCGGGGTCCAAATTCCACAGTCTCGATTATGAGGTCCGAGTTTCGTCGCCCAACAATGGCGGCAGCCAGAATAGCATGGTGACTCTAAATAATCGCCACGAATCGCAGACCGAGAACCACCACAAGGAAGTTACCCAAGGTGCACGTTTGGGCATCCAAAAAGCCGAGGCGGCGGCGCTGGCGTGGAGTAAGAAAACAGCCTACGGCACTTATGCATTGTGAGTTATATTTTTGTTTGTTGTGCGCTTGGCTTGGTTGATCTGATAAATTCAATGCTCGCAGAATCTGGCTCAGTTTCTTCCTTCTCGCTCTGCAATCCTCCATCAGCACCAACGTCATCCACAATGCCTACGCATCTTTCGAAGCCGCGCCCGACATCAGTACTGCAAATATTCTAGCCAGCGTCATCAGTGGCGTGATGAAGCTGCCGGTCGCGAAGCTGTTGAACATCTGGGGTCGCAGCGAAGGATTTTTGGTCTTCATCGGTGTCTATCTCCTTGGACTGATCATCCTGGCATCTTGCAACAACCCCAGTGCTTACGCAGCGGGATACGTGATCTACTGGGTGGGATACGATGCCATCTTCTTGATCTTGGATGTCTTCATGGCGGATACGTCCAGTTTGCGCAACAGGGCCTTTGCGTTCGGGTTTGCGAGTACCCCGTTCATCTGCACGGCTTTTACCGGTCCGATCGCAGCACAGTCGTTCATCAACACTACCTCGTGGCGCTGGGCGTATGGCACCTTTGCGATCATAACGCCATTTGTCTTTCTTCCGTTGGCGGGCACGTTCAAGTTCTATCAACGCAAGGCCCAGAGGATGCATATTTACAGACGGGAGCCGACCGGTAGAACGACGGTGCAGTCGATAGTGCATTATATCAAGGAGTTTGACGGTAAGTCATTCCCGAGAGATTGCGACCACAGGCTGACTCTATCCCAGTAATCGGTGCTTTACTACTCATGGCCGCCTTTGTTCTCCTGCTCCTCCCATTCAGTCTCACCACAAACGGCAACACCGAATACAAAAGTGCCACCTTTATCAGCATGATCGTCATCGGCGTCTGCCTCTTCTTCGTCTTCGCCGCCTGGGAACGATTCTTCGCCCCCTACCAATTCATCTACTACCCCTTGCTCAAAGACCGCACGATCCTCGGCGCCTGTTCGCTCGCCGCCGTTCTCTTCTTCAGCTTCTACGCCTGGGAACTCTACTTCTACAACTTCTGCATGGTCGTCTTCGGCCTCAGCATCAGCATGGCCGGTTACATCGGACAGATCTACAACGTGGGGTCGTGCTTCTGGTCCGCCGTCTTCGGCATCCTGGTCTACGTCACTAAACAGTTCAAATACTCTTGCCTGGGCTTCGGTCTCCCTCTCATCCTCCTCGGCGCAGGGCTCATGATCCACTTCCGCGCGGCAGACAGCAACATCGGATACATCGTTATGTGTCAGATCTTCATCGCCTTCGGCGGCGGAACGCTCGTCATCGGTCAGGACATGGCGGTCATGGCGGCGTCGAATCGCGAAGGTGTGCCCATGATGTTATCGCTGATCGGTCTGTCAAGTAGTCTAGGCGGTGCGGTCGGGTCGGCCGTCTCCGCGGCCATCTATACGAATATCTTCCCCTCGGTGCTGCGCGATGCGTTGCCCGCGCAGAACAAGGGCGAGTACCTGGCGATCTACAATGGTGGATATGTCAAACAAGTCGAGTATCCTGTGGGATCGGACGTTCGCAATGCCATTATCGAGGCGTACAGCGCGTACATGAAATACGGATGTATCGCTGCGGTCGCAATCATGGCACTGGGTATCCCGGCCATCGCCGTATGGAGGAATTATCGGGTGGATAAGGAGCAGAACAAGGGGGAGATGATGTGAGTGGAGTCAATTGTCTTAGAACAAGGGCAATGACCAGGAACAAAGGAAAAGCGAAAACGAAGAAAATACTCTTGATACCCTAACTCTGGCGTCTGGGTTTGGATTACGATATGGATGCGATGTTGAACGACGCTGGATACGTCACTTATGACAATATTTTAATTTCCATAGAGACAATTGTCACGGATAGATAATTCCCCGGCGTGCATGTCCCTCGGTAGACAGTGGTCTAGACCACGAAGAGTAAAAAATGGAGACAAGGGACGAAAGGCTCGCGCGAGCAGGAAATTTCACGCTGCAACGATGGGCCCACCAAACTTCCGATGAACAGCCAGCCAGCCTCAGGTATCCAGATCCGACGGAGTACATTTTTCTGTTTCCACTTTCCATCCTCATCCTTCACCACTCCGTAGTCCGTACCCAGTACCCACGAAGCAGAGTCTCCTCACCTCGTGGCAGCCACGCCCGAGCAAAACAATTGACGCGTCCGAAACCCAGCCCTAAACCTGGTACGGCAAGTGTCCGTCCGACCTGAGGACGAAAGAAATGAGAGTCAACGGAAGGATCCACCAGCGCGGCAGTGAATGGCCCAAACGATGAGACTAGCGCACCAACAATCACCTCGCTAGTGCCGGTGGAGAGTCGGACTGGCTTGGAGTCGATAGGGATCGGTCGTGTGATAAGATTGATTAATTGATAATATGCGAAGTTCGGAAAAGACAGGTGGGGAGCGCGAGGTTTTGGTGACGGTGACTTTGTTGATCCTATCCTAGCCTTGTGAGTTGTGACTGAGCTCGTTATGTCTCAGCCCTGACGGACGAGCTGTTAGATTTCGAGTACTGAGCTGGAGGAATTGATGATGAAATTGCCTGCTTGGCTGCTTGATTGTTTCCTGCGCGATCGACGATGGAGGATTCGTCCACGTGTTCTACTGCCTCCGGGCGACGTCCTTTTCGATACTCGTCCAGCTCGGGCTCGATCGACCTACCGTGGTTTTTGCATCTCGATCACGAAGATGAAGTGGTCTTCGGTTTTGCAGACAACCAGCAGACGGTCAAATCCGGCACCTTGACCGGTCTGGTCGAGCAATTGACGCGTCACGACCGATTGGATTCCTCGTTCAATGAGACGTTTCTCACGACCTTCAATACATTTACGACGGCCCCAGAGCTATTTGATATGCTCGTTCAACGGTTCTACGTTAAACCACCCGAGGAGCTGGATGAGACAGAACTGCAGCAATGGATGGAGCATAAACAGCACGCTATTCGCCTACGAGTCGTCAATGTCCTACGCAACTGGCTCGAGCGGTTCTGGGTGGAACCCGATAATGAAGACACGAAAAAGTTCCTACGAGATGCGCTCGTCTTGATGAAGAGCTCCCCGGAAATGATGGCCACGCCGACATCGTCGCATCTCCTCACCGTCATCGAGCAGCGCTTACAAGGCCAGCAATCCCTCCGGCGATTCATCCGCACTCCCACATCCTCTGCGCCACCTCCCATGGTCCCCAAGAACATGAAGAAGTTAAAGTTACTGGATGTCGACCCGGTCGAGTGTGCGCGCCAACTCACCATCCTTGAATCCAGTTTCCACCGCCGCATCAAGCTCTCTGACTGCCTGAACAAAGGTTGGCAGAAACGAGGCCCTGATAGTTCGGACCCCTCAACGGCAGTGAACGCCATGATCTTGCATTCCAATCAGCTAGCAAACTGGGTCGCCGAGACCATCCTTTCGCAGAGTAACATGAAGAAGCGCGTGGCGATGATGAAATACTTTATCAACGTGGCTGAGGTATCTTTCCCTTCCCTTGATTTCCTGCACTTCATACGAACCTGCAGTTTGGTCCTCATCTAACCGTCACCCAGGGATGCCGTGCTTTTAACAACTTCGCCACCTTAATGTCCATCATCTCCGGCCTGGGCTTGACGCCCGTCTACCGCCTCCGATTCACCTGGAGCCAAGTCAGTCGACGAACACTCGCCAGTCTCGAAGATCTTCGGCAGCTCATGAGCAGCTCCAGAAACTTTGTCCAGTATCGCGAGACATTACGCGATAGCGAACCACCCTGCGTCCCTTTCCTCGGTATGCCCATCCCTCCCCTTTCCAAGCCACCAACGAAACTAACCCCAATCCTAGGAATCTACCTAACCGACCTAACCTTCCTCGAAGACGGCAACCCCAACCACACCTCCACAGGCCAAATCAACTTCACGAAACGCGCCAAAATGGCCACCATCCTCCATGACCTCCAACAGCACCAAGTCACCTCATATCCCTTCCTACCCGTCCCCGAACTCCAAGACTTCCTCACCGCTGGCATCAAGTCCGCGAAGGACGTACATGAGATGTACGATCAGAGTCTAGATCTCGAGCCGAGACAGCATGGCGAGGAGGATTTGCCTGGCGGGAGTGATGTCGGATATGTAGCGACCGGGAGTCATATGAGCTCTGTGGTTATTGCTAGTATGGTTTTGAAGTAAAAGTTCTTCTTATTCGTTTTGGGGACGGGAGATATGCGTTATGAATTATGATCTAGGGCGGGTTTCTTTGGTTTATTTGATATCATTCGGTTTATGGATTTAAGGGCAATGATGATTTCCGGACATATGGAATAGTTATTTCAATGCATAATATTTGTAGAGCAGCTACCACTAGGAAGCTAGACTCCACTATTTTTATTTCCTTTGTTATCCTTAGGATCTGGCTATAAGCCGACCGAATGACGGTCCAACAAACTACCCATGATCTTGCTATGTTATTGGATATTAATTCATTGGTCCGTAAACCATTTCTGATATCAGTACACGTTGCGTAGAGGGAACCATATCAAAGTTTGATTCTATTTATTCTACCCTTGCTACGATAGCTAATGCACCGCGTACAGCCATCATCTATATGCAGAGGATTCCGGTCAGATCTAGATATTTTAGAGTGCTTTATACGGCAGACCCTACCGCAGGATACCCAAGTAGGACCTTGACTAGATGTTGTTTACTTTTATCCCGGGGATACGCAGAGTATGTCCGACATGCCAAAGACGGCCAATGGCGGGTAGAGACGGCTAACTCAACGAAAACAAACAAGACAAACTGCTTTCTTCTCACTCCGACGCGTTTCTCCCTCCTTCATCCCTACCTGAACCTTGTGGAGTTCATCGATGAAATGCCGGATTTGCGTACATTGGATCTGCCTATGAAGCGCAAAGCCACTAATGATGTTGAAAATCCCCCAGTCCAGCCATCACGTCAGGTCGATGAGCCCCCGCATAAATCAATTCAAAGCATTCTGCGTGAGAACAGCGGAGAACGGCTCTAGGTCCAACCAATCTCCTGGACCTCGAGACAGCTGCAACCTTTAAACTGTGATTTCGCTCTCGAGAAGGTGGAGTTGAAGAGAGGTGTCCCACCGTCAAAGTCAGCTATTAGAACTCTGCGTGACCGGCAGCCGAGCATTAATCCCATCTTTGCGGTCGCCCTGCTACGGTGCCCAGCTACCTTGGAAGCAAAGAATTCAGATGTGACAGACATTCTCGGTCTCTACGATTTACAATCTCTTAGGTATCGTCGTACCTACCTCCTATGCTAAACAACTAAACCCTGACCCAATCATAGCTCGAATTACCTGCCATTCTACTATGGACACCGGAGAGTCTCTGAGATCCAAGTTGATGGCGTTTTCTCCCGTCACTCTACAAATCCGAGCCTCGCGTACATCACGTTTGAGACTATCCGATATTTTCGCGAGAAAGCGCTCGGCAAAAAGAGCAAAAATACTGTGTTGGACAATCGGCGTAAAATAAAGCTACGATCGCTTGCTCCCCAGGATCCCTAAATTGTCTCAATTATGTTGCGCTCGCCCAGGCGCAGCGGCAGCTTACAGCAGAATCACACCCAACAGCGAAGCTTCAACAGGAATGTTCTGGATCAGCCAGCTCAGTGCACGATAGTTTGTCCAGACCCCTCGCTTTGTCAAGGGCCGATACAGATGAGCCATGATTTGGGCCGATTTTTCAAGGTATGTCGTGGTATGCTGTGGAATAGCAGGATCACTTTAATTTGGTTTTTATTGAAGATCAACGTTCTCGCTACACCGGGCGTGGTGGCTGAGTTCCTCCACGTCTATTCCGCGTGCATCTCGGCGGAATTCCTCGATCGCTTGGATGCTCCATCGCAATCTTTGCCCAGTCATCCTGTTCTTGTCAAATACCACCGCATCCCTATAGTGAAAGAAAAGAAAAAGGAAGTTTCTTCAGGAGCTCCACAGCCTACTTTGTACTGGGACATGCACTTTGTGCGCTGGCGGCCAGCCCACAAATCCTGATGTCAGAAGCTGAGACGATTCTACAGGGTCACAGCGCTGGACCTTTCAGCAGCATCGCTGGATTCCTGGAGTTTCATATTACTGAACATATGCCACCCCCTCATCCTCTTCTCAGGTACAGTTGTCAGGGTCTGGAGCTCATGCCACCATCACGATACCCTCGCGCAGCCCTCTTGCGCGAAGATATGATCCGTGGTAGTTGAACTGTGCTGCTCTGAGTAAGCCAAGGTTTTAAAACTGAGCGGAGAATAAACAAAAAAGAGTCGGGATTATGATGTCAAGTAGGTAACCTTATGCAAGATTCCGAGCTTTACACATTTGTGGGTAAAATTGGCCCTTTTCAAGCAACTGCTCATGTGTACCAGACTCGACAATACGGCCTCTGTGAAAGACATATCAAATCCGCATGCCGAACGGTTGAGAGCCGATGTGCCACAGTAATAGTGATCCCGTCTCTGTACGCTACAACCTGATTTAGAGTATTCTGCACCACTCTTTCCGATTGCGTATCCAACGCACTCGTGGCCTCATCTAGAAGCAACAGTCGAGGATTTCGAATCAACGCCCTCGCGATCGCAATCCGTTGGCGCTGTCCACCAGACAATTGCAGACCATTCATACCACAGGGAGTATTCAAGCCCTGCGGGAGAGAGGTAATATAATCCCACGCATTGGCTGCGCGGCACACCGCTTCGATGTCAACGTCCGAGACTTCTTTACCCGATGCTGCACCCAGTGCGATATTCTCTCTAATCGTACCGGGAAAGAGGGTAGGCTCTTGCTAAACGAGGGCCACATAGCTGCGATATATCCAGAGGTTCATCGTAGTGAGCTCCGTGGACCCGATCTTGATCTCACCGTTGATGGGGTCGTAGAAGCGCTCCAGCATAGCGATCATAGTGCTCTTGCCACATCCGGATGCGCCTACAAAAGCCACGAATTGACCTTGCTTGATATGCACGTTGAACATCAGTAACAGGTTGGTGACCAGCCCTTGAGGCTTCGTGGACTCACATTCAGATCGATGCCCCGCAGTACAGGCGATTATGGTTTTGAGGGGTATGAGAACTGGACGTTCGCTAGATCCAAGGACTGAAAATCTCCAGGCCCGGTGTGACGGTTCTCTCTCGTCTCACTGACGGTCGGCTGCAGGTACTCCAGCCATAACATGTAATTTGCAGCCGATATTCCCTTGGTAATGCCTACATGTGGTTGGTGAATCATCACGTCATGGTATTCTGCGAGGGAAGGGGGCTCATACTGCTTGAAACCCCGAAAATAACGGATGCTTGCTGGCCAGAGAAGAAGCCCCCAAGAAAAGCAATGAGGAAGTCAGTCATACTAAGTTCCCCAAATGAAACAAGTCGGCAGCCGTACCTGGTTCCAGATGTGGAGTGTCAGTCTGGTAGCTTTTTTTGTGAGGGTTTAGAAAAGAATAAAGGCAACATGTATTGTGCATGCTGGGAAAGGGTAACCAACCAAAGGCCCAAAGCCATGAAAGAATACTCCACGGTTTGTGTAAATGCAAAAGGAGCCATCATGAGAAGAACTGGGAGTTTTGAAGCGCAAGTTGCATGATCCAACTCCGTGGCATATCTTTCTAAGACCGACTGTTCGATGGCCAATGAAGACATGGTCTGGGTGGCAGAGACGGCTTCTGACGCAATAGAATAGCTTTGCGCGAAATGTTTGGAAATAATATCTTCGATTTTAGCCTCTGTCTTGATACGAGCCCAGCCTGATAACATTAGAGGTGGAAGCCCGGCCAAAATAATCACCAGACCGTGCTTCCATCCATAAGCGAGAGCCAAAATGGAGCATGAAATCACAGCCATCGAGCCCGTGATTATCAAACCGATGGTCATCCCCATAAGCTCAAATAAAGATCGTGGATATGAGTCTGCACGACTTGCTAAAGCACCGGTTGTATTCTCAGGACGGTCGAAGAATTGTATGTCTTGTCTGAGAATATTGGAGACAATCTCCCTGCGGTATTTGTGGTCAATGATCTTGAATAAGGTCAGCGTCATAATACACGGCATCAAAGTTGAGGACTTTACCTGAGAAACGGTGTTTGACGACCATCCTATGACGAAATAGATCACAAATGAGCCAATGGCTAGAACGAGACATATCAGGGTGATGAAACTCCCTTTTCGCTGTATTTCATCCCCAGTAAAGCTGAACACTTCAATGAATCGAGCAAACAAGATAGACTGACAGGGGAATGTGGCCGCTATAGTCTTGTCAGCTCCACGGGATCAGAAGAGAATCATCGGTTGATTATACCTGACGTAAATGATCCAAGCATCAACACTAGAAACACCGGTCGTAATTCCAGTGTCGTGGAGAGAATGCGCCAAAGAACATGCAAGAGGCCAAGCGAAGATTGTGTCCGGGTTTTCGTCACCTCAATGAGGTCTTGTTCAAATTTGTCACCCACGGGATTCGATATGACAAATTAAGCCCAAACGCAGAATCTCATCATACAGCCACAGAGAAGCAGCCTGTCCCCAACCATTCGGTTGTTCCACGAGGCGGGGCCTATCAGGAAAGCGTTCCATACAGTGGGTTGCAGAGCGAGCCCAAAGATGTCGAATCACAAGGACCAGTCGAGGACGAACAAGTCATGGAAGGACAATCATCACTGTCTGCCCACTCGTCCTTTGCGATCAACCTGCTACACAATGCCATCGGGGCCAACAGCTCTGACATCGAAAGACTTCTGGAAACTCTGCGACATATCCTGGACGTGTCCAATGATCAGCGGGCATCATCGTCTATGCCCTTGCTCCCCTTGGCAAAAGACACCTCCATCCGATGCGATGTCTCGAACATGCCTCCATTGGAAAAGAAGCTCTTTGTTCTACAGCAAGCGAAAGGTGTGTTGGAATCCTCCCTGTGCAGTTCCATGAGATTAATTTTAATAGATGGAAATCAACCGTCGGTCTCCATTTATGAAACGCTTCTTCCGTCGCACAGCCTGTCAGACCTATTCTTGAAAGTGTACTTTTCAAACAACTATTCCGATGCTGAGATTATCATAGCCAACGCTGCATTATACGGTATGAGACCCATCTCACTTGAACATGACATCAACTCCGGTTTCTACCACAGCATTAATCTACGAGGCTGTTCTCGTTCAAAAGAACCCGCCTTTTTCGAAAGACACACTGGATGACTACAAGAGATATTACTCTCTGTGTCAAGTGCACATCGAGACAGCACTGGCAAAGCTGCCACTATGTACGAGGGCGAGCCACGAACTCGCTCTAGCGCTCTTTCTCGGGGTAAGTACCCCAAATTATCATGGACTAAATGCGGCGCGACTGATTGAAAAGGCCACTTATGCGGTGGACATCTCGAAGCCATCTCTGTCATGGAATATGGTCGGTGTAGCTTCTCAACACGCCCGCTCACTCGGGTTTCACACTCGCCCAGTTGGCACGAAAAGTGGCTCCAACACCCTCAACTCCAAATGGTTTCTCTTCTGGGCGATATACATGCTGGAAGGGTTCTTGTGTCTTCGACCTGGCCGGTCTTTTGCTTTCCAAGACAACGACATCACGTTGCCGCTGTCCAAAGCATCATCTGCGAGTGAATCGGCCATGGAGTATTTCGGTCATACGGTGAGGCTTGCAGGCCTGGCTGGGAGAATCTATGAGCAGTTATACTGCGCAACGGCTCTTTCTCTCCCGACGAACACACGGCAAACCCGTGTTACGGAGTTGTCGCAGGAGCTCCATGGCCTTATCGACGCCTCGCACGCCGCTAGGGTACGGTTTTTTTCAAAACATTCCCCGGTCACGGTTCACCCGGTGCTCATACGTTTCTTAGGACAGCTGGATTCGAAACGCGATCGATGACAACGATCGGCAAACTGCCATTCACACCTCGATGTCGGGTGATGTCCTCCGTTTGTCAATGTTAACACTCATCCACCGCGCCATGCCACACGACACGCAGCAAACGACCATTAGCGATTATTGTATTGCCACAGCTAGATACGCCCTCGAAAAGCACGAGGCAATGGTCAAACACCTTGAATTGAAAGGGTCTATTCTCTTGACATCATACATCATCTGGTATGTATACACCCTCGTCATGTTAACAGAAAATTTGACAGATGACAATAAAACCTGACTTACACCTACAACCAGGTCCATCTTATTGGTCCCCTTTTTCCCTTTTATCGCGCTATTCTGCCACGTTATCGAAACAGGCGACCCTGAAGATCTCACCCGGATGCAGACATTTGTCGCTTCCCTCGAATCAGCCTGCTCCGGCTCCAGAGCCATCGCAAAACACCATCGTCTCTTTCAAGTCTTCAAAAGTGTTGCGCTGCGGTACACCGAATTGTGGAGCTCGTCGTCAGTATCACAGGGAGAGTCTGCGAGACTGCGAATGGCGATGGACACTCGGCTGCATGCGCTCGGCTTGCAAGTTCGGGCTGATTTAGTGCCTGGTGTGAGCGAGGTGAATACGACGGGGGGTTGGCCTGGTGCTGGGAGAGTCGATGGGCTAGGTCATTCCAATGCACCTGGCATGGATCCCATGGAGGAACACAGCCTGCAGCTTGGGAATTGGTTTTCATTTGGCCAGAATATGATGGAGTTGGTGGATGAAAATGAGTGGCTGTTGTGAATGTATGTACCGATCGATTATCGGAGTCCTAAAATTAATCCATTGATTACCATCTCTTCTCCCTCCTTCTCTTTTTGTTCCTTCTTCTCCTTCTTCTTCTCCTTCTTCTTTTCCTTCTTGTTCTAGAAATTTGAAAACATTGCTGACATGACTCTCTTGGAGAGGCCTTGGATGAAAGTGCTCGATAAGACGCCGAAAATAGCCAACTGTCGGCTCTTTGAATTTTCTTATTAAGCCACAACCAATCAGTATCTAAGTACAGTGTACGAACAAGACCGTTATTGAATGTTCCAGTTCTGCATGTTCTCCCAGACTTCGTTGAATCAAGCGCGGTGGGAAATCTTCAAACCACCCCTACTGATAATTATTCAAGTACATATAATGCTAAGTTATTCCAATGCATTAAGATAGAAGGGCAATCCCATCGTAGCTTTTCAATCCTCAACTTGCCACATTATGATCACATTTAAAGTGCGACCAAAATCATCGTCGAGCCTCACGTGATGTCAGTATTTTAGTTCCATACCTAGAGTAATCCTGGTCTACGTCACACTTTGTTCCCTTACACCTGTACAGTTTTTCGTTTGGAAATCCCATAGGTGATCCATTTATCTCTCTAATCTTTTACATGTTGGTGAAACAAGTACGCACAAGGCGGAGTAGTAAGTTGGCTATCGATGGCCATATGTACTGTATGCATGTCCATTTAGGCGTTGCATTAATCATCTAGGGTTTGGCTTGGAAGTACCATTATCCAAAACAGTGTAGAATGAGGGAAGCCCACATCTTCGGGTTCTATAGTTGACTAACAATCGAACTTTATTCGTTTGCGTCCATGTCTTATTTCTGGGTAAATCTATACATATCCGTATCCATTCAGGCAGTGCACCGGCCTTTACTAATAAATTTATTCCCTTCTCTATGTAAACTTTGGACAGGCGGTGGCTTCACTGATTACCGAGGTATCGTTCTTCTCTTTCCGTAGATGGGCGATGGCAGAGTGTACCTTCAATCAGTAGAGGGGATTTCCGGGCCATCCCGGGCTATTCCCAACGAGGAAAGAAGCACACAATGCAGGTCAGGCTGCAGGTATCCGCTGCGGTGAACCTCTGTGGCAAGCAAGGCTACGAGGACGACGGTGTCATGATTGGGTCGCTCTGAGTGACCCATACTTTTAAACCGAGCGGAAAACAAACAAAAACAGAGTCGGGGATATGATGTCAGGTGAGAGAGAGGAGAGAAGTACGAACAAGGTGGAGTAGCTAGCCATGGATTGGTGGCCTAATGTATGCATGTTCCATGCAGGCGTCGGATTATTGATTCAGGGCTTGGCTTGGAAGTCCATACCATTGTCCAGAACAGTGTAAACTGAGGGGATGTGGGATGATGGATGCCGTCAGAAACTGTACAATATGAGACATTCGGGACAGAAGAGGGCGAGGATAAAAATAGAAGGTTCCATTCGTACTTCGTATGTACAGCTGTAAGCGGAGCCGACATATGCCAGTATATGCGACTTTCCGGTAGCGACGCAAAAATGTCCGAACGGGGAACGAGTCTGTCGGACAGGACGCACGGAAGAACTTGCTTTGTACGCCGTAGATATCCAGTCTAGGAGACAGTTCATCAAGACCGAACGTTGTCAGTTTTTCTGTCATACCAATGACTGGGGTCTGTGATGAAAGACTGACTTCATGATAAGTTAGTCCCGCCTCCAAGAGCTTGGATGTCGATCTTTACCAGGATGATCATCCTACTAGTATCAAGACCACGATCGGTCGAAGCCGTTAGACCTAGAGCCAATATTGAGAGAGCCCAACGGCCCCAACGGAGTACAAACGAGGTTACACCACTGTTAGCCCGACCAGACAGGTCCGAGACTTGACCAGTATCGTGAGCTCCTTGCGTGAGGTGGATCGGACATCTTGGCACATGGCCTGACCAACGTGTGGTGGTCTATGAATAGATCGGGGATGAAGAGAATCAATACGGACTATAGAGGAGACACCGGAGGACTCAGGAATGCGGAATACGACGGACGATGTCTCGCCTCTTTCAGTGCCTCAGGCTGAATGGGAAGCGGCGGACAAGCCTAAGGCTGCGTGTCTCAAAGCCCGCGGCCCCGTGACTGGCCCGGAGGGCCCCCGCATCGCCTTCTCCGCCCCGCATTCGAGCATCACCCGATGAAGGCCTCCACGCTTGTCTCACCTCCCCGTCCAACTTGCCGTCCCTCCCTCCCCTGCTATTGATCGGGTTTCAACCTCGTGGAGCTTGCACTGCTGATCCCGTTGCTATTCCAAGAAGTTGGGCATGGTCCACCTGTGATCCTCTACCTGTATACGGAATATTCCGATCAGTCCCCTCAACGCCACCCATGGAGAGGGAATTCGTCCTGCGGGGAAAGTCAAAGAACCACACCATTCACTACGATGGCTACAGTGAATATGCAGCATACGATCGATGACAATGAGGCTTTTTTGTCGTCGCCGCTACCTCTGACTCGTGGGAAACAACTATATAAACCCTCTCGACCATCGCCAGATTCTCTCTCTCCCATCCAGATCAATCCCACAACCCATTCACAAGATCCTCTCCAGCTTCCAAACAAACAAACTCTCCCACTTCCTATCTTCCACTCTCAATCCTCAATCTCAAGCTTAAGCTCAATCCTCCAATCCTCAAAATGAAGTTCTTCGCCTCCACCCTCGCCCTCATCTCCCTGGCCCTCACCCCGGCCATGGCTGCTCCCGCCACCGCCGCTGCCGTCTCGGTCTCTGTCTCCTACGACACCAAGTACGACGTGGCCGGCAGCTCCCTGAACACCGTCGCCTGCTCCGACGGCGTCAACGGCCTCGTCACCGCGGGCTACTCAACCTTCGGCTCTCTGCCCAAGTTCCCTCTCATCGGCGGCGCCCCGACCATCCCCGGCTGGAACAGCCCCAACTGCGGAAACTGCTACAGCCTGCACTACAAGGCCGGCAAGGTCGACAAGACCATCTACGTGACTGCCATCGACGCTGCTCCCGGTGGCTTCAACCTCGGTCTCAATGCCATGAACCAGTTGACGAACAACCAGGGTACCCAGCTGGGTCGTGTGCAGGCGACCTATGCGCTGGCTGATCCCTCAAAGTGTGGATTCTAGGCGACTTCCATCGACTCCTGGTTGTGCAAGATGATGCCGCTCTCGTTTGATGAGATGATCGGATCGGATCGGATCCGATCTAGGCAGTTGGTCTGGTGGAGCTATGGAAACGAGTTCACGAGATGATACGGTTTTGGTTTTTCGGTTTTCACTTCAAATGTCTATTTTCAGCGCCATTCCTTACATTTAATATTACATGAGAATAGTATAATTGAACATTATTAGTATCACATACACAACGTTTCTTGCGAGGAGATGGTACTTTAATTACGTTTTATACATATACAGTGTATCGCTCTATACCAAAATCTAATGTTCATAAGAGTGGAACTTAGCCCACCTCATTCAACATATCTGAAACGCGACCGAACTTGACCCGGCTTCTACCCTGAGATTGTCCGCGATTGCGCTCCGCCGCGTCGATACGCTGCCAATCCTCCCAGGAAGTAGCCTGCAGGCCTCGTCCCTGGACCTCGGGGCGGACGCCCTCCCAGCCAAGACCGGTGCTCTGGCCCGGAGAATTCAGCAAGGACGCTTGGCCCTTGCTCGTCAGATCCGCCGCGATGGCGTCAGCGGTGCTAAACGCGTCCGTCATCGTAGTGGCAATGACCCCGGTCGGACCGCGCTTAACCCATCCGGCGCAGTACAACCCAGGTAGATGTGAGATGAGCGATCCATCTGGTAGTTCTTCGTTATCGCCGGTATTCTTGGGACTCGTGACTCGTCCGAACCCATCGTTGGGAATCACCCCACGGGTCGTATCGAATTGGACCCCGAGCTCCTCTAGTCCGTTCAAGGGGAGCGATTTGTAGCCAACGCTGCGGAAAAAGGTATTGGCGAGAATATCGGCTTGCATGCGTCTATCTGGGCGTCTCAGCTTCGGTATGTATTTGGGCGTGACTTTCGCGCTGGGCGAATGGGGATCCGACGGGTCGAGTTGGTTGCATGAGAATCTAACGTGGGTCAATTGATTCTCATTGAATGGAGAAAAGTTCAGATATTCGGGCGAGAGCAGGAAATCCAGAGACCAGGACTTTGGGCTGGTTTTAGGGCTATTGGTCGATCCCTTAGCTAGGAGCTGGACGAGCCGTTTCTGCGCTCGGGGGAGAGCGGCAATCACGTCGTCTGGTGGGAACAGCTCTCGTGGGACAGGGTCGAAGGATACGCCTGGAAGCTGCAGCAATTCCCGCAACTCTTTAATCGTGAACGCAGCCTGCAAAACATAGGTTAGAGCCGCGACCCAAACGAGTATCGGTTGCCTTTGCACGTACCTGCAGCGGTCCTCGTCGGCCGACCACTCGCACCCGGTTGATCTTGCTTCTAGACAGCTCATCCAGCGCATAATCGGCTATATCCGTTTTGCGTAAAGCGTCCACATCTGAAAGTAGAATTCTTGCAACATCCAACGCCACATTACCCTGCCCAACGATCACAGCATTCTCTCCGGCAGTAAGATCGGGGGCAAGATCACGATGTTCTGGAAGTCCGTTGTACCAGCCGACAAACTCTCGAGCTGAGTAAACGTGACGGGGGGCCTTCTCCCCGGGAATCCCAAGCTCCTTGTCCTTAGGAGCTCCGTACGAGAACAAGATCGCGTCGTAATGGGGCTTGAGTGCCTGCAGGGAAAGTTTCTGGCCCAGTTCAATGTTTCCAATGAAGTTGAATCGCGGCGACTGTGCGACTTCGGTGAACTTTTCTTCGCAGTTCTAAACATCACAGGAGCATGAGTCAGAGGGCCGCCAACACAGGTAGAAGAGACGATCGCATACCTTGACCTCCGGATGGTCCGGCGCTACCCCGTATCTCACCAAACCAAAGGGAACGGGGAGCTTCTCGTACATGTCAATTACGGCATTGTCCACCTTTCCCAGCAGCCTGTATGCAGCGTAAAAGCCCGCCGGTCCCGACCCCACAATGGCAACGCGAAATGGCCGATCGGTCTGGACGGCGTGGCTGTTATGACGTCGCTGCCAGGTCAACTGCGGGACAGCTCGACGGTACGAGCGGCGGAGGGGAGCGCGCAATGCCTGCGCCGAGCATTGGACGCAGACATAGGGCGCGCGCTGGACATTCATGGTGATACGAATGAATTGCGATGCGCAGTCGGAGAACCGACGGACGGAGAGCGCGGGACGAGAACCATGACGGCAGAGCACGTGACCTTATCGGGGCCGGTTGCCGCGCCGACAATCGGGTTGTTGACAGCATCGGATCTATCCTCCTGCACGCTCGCCTTCTGACATTCCGTCGTTCCATGGTTCGTGCCCTCCGTCTTCCTTCACCCACATTTTTGCAATCTATTCTCTCCAGCATTCCTTTCATTTTCATATCGAGTTTTGATCTCCCCGCTTCTGGCGTGGGGTGGATGCTTCGATAAGCTCAAGCTCAATTGAAGCTTCATTCACCACCATCATGGGGGGATCTTCGCCTCCATTCCTTTACGGTGCGCCGTCGGCCTACAGCTTCCATGGCCCGACAGACCATCCTTTCAATCCCAAGGCCGTGACCCAAGCGAGCTGGACTCGTCCGAAGTCAAAGCCGCAGCCCAAAGGCCCGTTAGTCAACTTCAATAGACATCCTGATTCGGTGTGTATTCGTCGGTCCGATTGTTGCAGATGATTTATGCTAACCACGTTTCTTTTTTCTCCGAAAGTATAACAATATCCCCGATGGAAAGTCGCGATGGACTCCGATGAGTCGCAGGACGAAGCCCAGAATAATCGTTACGCGCAAGATACAGCTAGGATTTCGCGTCTTGATGTTGCTGGGGGCCCTTGGATCTCTGTTTTGCGCCATTGTCATCAAGAACGCGGCCGTCAGCGTCATATGGATTGTTCGCGTCGGAGTGAGTCTTACATCGTCTCATTCGGATTGAAGCAAGCGCTAATTACCTGAAGCCCGCCGTAGCAATCTTGCACACTCTTTACGGCATCTATCACCTTTGTCGCTCCGCCGTCTCCAGACCTCCCGGTTCCCAGGCTAGTTACATGGTGTTCGCTTCGACTTTGGACCTAGGACTTATCCCATTCTATGTCTTTACCGCATTCCTCGCATACAAACAATATACTGAGGACGAATATCACTGGACCACCATGCTCAGCTCTGACTTCGATATCACGACCAAGATTTCTCAAGTCACCTTCTTTCTGAGCGTGGTCAACGGCGGCTTCCATCTCATCTCCTTGGGGATCTGCATCTACCTTGGAGTCGTCTTTCGCAAAATCACCAAACTGCCACCGGACATGAATCCCTTGGAAGACAATCTGACAGCCCGTCCTCATAAGCGTACCAAGTCCGAGCTTGCTGAAAAGCATGCTAGCCAGTCTACCCTGGACTCCGCAATGTCCGAAGATCCGCTTATGGGGCCGCCTCGGAAAATGGCGTTCATGCACACTCGAGGTCAGTCCTCGGAGAGCGGTTCTATCATGACGGAGAAGAGACACTCTCAGCTGTCCGAGCCTTCGAATCGCCTGTCGCGTATGGTGTCCCCTATGCCGCCAATGCCTTTCGAAAATCAGGCCGACCCCACAGATTACATGACAGAGCAGGTTCCGGAGCACAACCTTGACGTCTTCGCAAGACCTACATCGAGTGTGCCGTATGGAGCTCCCGTGCGCGAACCCTCGCCCGACTTCCCGAACAGATCCCAGTGTGTGAGTCCTGCGTCAGATAACTGGGTCACGTATTCCGACCGGTCCCCTTCCCCGGTAGATGTGGTTCCGAACGAGAATCAGGCCCATGCCCCTCGAGACCCATCGTCCGTCTACAGCCGAGGAACCGCCTCCGGTGGATCGAATGGTGGAGTCGCGGACTGGACGAACCCCGGACAGCGTAATGGATGGAACGTTGGTGAGACAATTCAAGAAGACGCTCATGGAGAATACGAATCCCTCCCCGTTCACGAATACTACGGCCACGACGACTACCCGAATGACACCCGCCAGCCAACTCGCTTCTACGATACCGCCGAACAAGACATCGGAGACCACAACATCCACATATTCCAAGACCATGCAGACCACGACGATCTCTACGATGACCACCACGACTCTGACCTTCGCGTCAACCCGCTGGCTCTCAACCCGCCCACCCCACAGCCCATCTTCGATGAAATACCCGACCACCCGCACAATGTTTCAGCTCGCATGGCGCTCACCGAAGTCCCGAACCTCTCCCCTACACCTCCCGTCTCCGTCCCCGCCAGCGACAACATTCCCGCAAAGAACAACCGCTTCTACGGCGAGCTCGAAGAAAACAACACCTTCGGGCTAAACATCCCGCGCAACGTCAGCGACCACAGAGCCCCAACCTCCCCAACCTCCCCCACCGCATCCCACGGCCTCTGGGGCAAGAAGACGAAGAGTCCGAAGCCCAAATCCCCCAAGGTCAACGCCTACGGCGCCCTCAAGCAACACGACGACGAAACCGATCCCGTCACCGGTGAACCCCTCGCACTGCCCTCTGATTCTCTCGGCACACCCGACGGCGACCGCAAAGGCCGCGTCGTCAGCAACTCCGGCGCCGACTTCGGTCGTCGTGTCGGTCAGGGAGCCTCGTTGTCGTATGGCAACTATATTGCAGGTCTAGGCGTGGGCCGAAGACGCGACGTGAGCGGGAAAATGGCTGAAGAAGGACGAGGCGGCGTGGCGCAGTCGAATCCTAGCAATAACGATGCTTCGACGCCTCGCGCTGCCGGATGGGCTCGATTTGCTGGTCTTTGATCCTCTTCTCTGCCTTGATTGAAGATACGAGAACGAAAAGAAGAAAGATGAAGATTTTACGATTTCATTTGATATAATGCTTGATTGACGGATTGATGGATGGATGGATTCCTTATGCTGGATTTTGTAACGAATGGTTTTACGGTTTGACTTTTGATTTTTGATTTGTGATTTTCTGTGATACTCCCTCCCCCCTGTGTTTACTGGTTTGATTCTTGGTTCTTCAGATTTTCTCTATGTACGTATGTATGTATTTATCTATACAAATTGGAATTCCTAGAGCAATTTCCAAAGTCTCTTCCAGAATTCTCGTAGTCTCCCTATTAGTTTTGAACGCTTACCTGGCATCTCCTAAGTCATTTGGAGAAGACGCAGTGGCTTCAAAGCTTTTGCTCTAGTCCGCTTCAACAGACGTGACTCTAGACTGGGGTATCTATAGTAGGGTAACATGCAAAGCATAGACTTCAGTATATATACGATATTCTCATTTCAATTATAAATATAGGCCTAGGTAGTTGCTATCACAACCAATCCGAACAACCAACGATAATTATCCCCAATCTTCCCTCCCTTGGCAGGTTTACTTAAACCTCCACCGTACAAGTATCACCCGCCTCCACAATCCGATATCCCTCCCATCCCTCATACGGCAGGCAAACCTCCCAGCCATTTCGGATCGCCTTGCTATTTTGATCCGAGCAGTCGGCACTAGGATACAAGCAGAGATCGTAGTTCAGTCGTTTGTTTTTCCATGACACAGTATCCACCCGACTCAGGTTGACGGGCTTTGCGTCCGGTCCGGTGTCTTCTAACAAGGAGACGCAGTCCCGGGTGTAGACTCCACCGCGATGGTATAGCGAGAGTTTGAGATTCGTGGTGTTCGGGGTGCAGCCGGGTAAGGAGAGGCGGAGATCCCACTGTTTGAATTGTTAACTATACGCAGGACTTTTCCTGTGGGTGTGGAACAACTTACATTGCGATATTTCAGAATTTCAAATTCATCATCGGTGGATTGGGGCAATGCGCTTGCTCCAAGGAGGAGAGTGGATATGAGTAGAAAGCCACGCATTTTGGAGATCGAGATTGTGTGATGAGAGATTTTGAGGGAAAGAAAGAGGGGGAGTTAGCTGATTAAATCATTAAAATGAATTTGCCCTCAGCTCGGTATGAGTTCTTGAGCTAAACAAGAATGGATAGTCCCACTTGGCAAGTGAGAGCTTATGCATGCAGGTTGCGATCGTAGAAACATAGCAAATCATTTCCGTTCGTAGTGGGAGCCGACAATCATCTGGTTGGATAGGTCCAAGTGCAGAGATTTCGGTAGTATTGCATCCTGCACCCTGTTCACGGTTGCAGTCTGAGCCTGGGTGGCCTAGCGTAGAATAAGCAATCATTGTAGATGTAGATGCTATTTGAGAGTCCAGTCCATTGTGGTGAACCCTTAAATCGCCAAGTCTCATTCCCTGTTGGTTGCTGTCTCACTACCTTGGCTTTCCCAACATTGAAGTTCGATGCCATTGGTTCAGGACGCCCCTCTGCAAGAATCTTCTGCATCACTAGGGGGGCAAAGTAACAGTGCGGGGAGCTAATTGTCTGTTCAGCTCAATTTCAGCAGGTACTGGATTGTCGACAAGTAGCCTAAGCTTGGCCTAGAACTGCATGGACTCTTTTACTCTTGAACGTGCCCTGTGCATCATAAGTATTTGTCTCCACTTTCTCTAACGTCTTCGTCTTCATAGTGATCCCAGAAGGTCCGTCCAGGCTGGGCGTGGAGAACTTGCCGCGAAGATGATCTCCTCCTGGTCTTCGTCCGATGCGTTAGAATTTTTCTGCTCTGACAGCCAGGCCTCTTCCCCCAACATATTGAAAGCTTCGGTCAAGCCATTGATCCAGTGCCTGTGTGAATCATTACCCCCCTGGATACGTGGGTCTGGATTGTTGGCGACGATTCTCTGGACAAGAGTATGAGTCTCTTTCCTAGCCTCGATGATAGACTGGAACAGGCGAAAATAAATGGGGGGAATTAGCTTGACGTGTAAGGCTATGAGCTCGGAAAATTATTTGAGGGCTGCTACGGAGACTTCTCTTCTGGTACTGAGAGTCAGTGACGCTATAGAAGTTCTGGCAGTCTTCATGATTTGGATCGAAGTATTAGCAATCCAATAGATAAGTCTTTGGTCCCACTGGTATCTGAGGCAGGATCTTCTGTCCGCCATTCCTTCGCTTATCCATGGATCTGGATCCAATTTCAGTGACGACACATGACAGGAAGGGTGAGGGACAATGGGGTGAGAGTACTAGCACGACTATCTACTCCGGTGTAGATTATTGAGAAGGCGGTGAAGGAAATATCCACCGCCTTCTGCCTTAGATTCCTGTTCTGGATTCTGCTGTGTTTTCACCACACAGCCAAATTAGACAGGCACATTTGGATAAGTGAGCAGTCCTTGAATCAATGTCAAGAATCAAGAAATAAAGGTAGCATTAAAGGGCAAATTTCACACATATATACAGATCAATAAAGTAAATAGCAGTCAAATCGGGTATTAAAGCAACATACATATATACAAGCCACAACGGCAAAGCAAAGACAAACTATGAAGGAACACCTTCATACTCCCAGCCCTGCATGATCCGTTTACTCCTGCGTGAGTTTCTCCGATTAGCGTTACATTTGACAAAAATAGTCAAAGCCGTGATGATACAGATGACAATTGCCGCAATGGCAGCAACTAGGACGGTCCGTTTCTCCAACTGCTGTGGATCCGATGCGTAAGGGCACTGGGCGTCCGGGCCGCCGGAGACCCAGCAGGATGCGATATCCAGGGAGTTGAAATCAAGCCAGATCTCGCGCATCTTCGGATCCGAGGACGACGGGTCCATTCCACCACCAATGCTGGATCTGTCGGAGGCGTACCGGTACAGGTAGGTGTTTTCGATGGCTGTGCGCGGGACGCCCAGGGACGTATTTGCGGGACAACCGTGGTCGTAGGCGTCAGAATAAGTGTTTTCGGCGTCGGACAGCGTCCAGGTAAATGGGTCGTTGCCGACCCGGCAGGCACCGCGACGTTTATGCTCAGCGCAGTCGACGACACGCCAGTGCCCATTCAAGGAGAGGTCCATTATGGCGCAGCGCTCGCGGGACGGCTCGTTGATGTTATCGGTGACTTCAGAGTCGCGCGGTTCGTCGATGGCCCAGGCCCACCCAGCGGAGAGGGTGGCGTTCTTGTAGGGTTCGAAATCTTTGTCGGCCGTCGAGTTCAGAAGCGTACCGTTGATCAACGGTGTGACCCCGCAGGCAGTGACGTTTTTGACCATTCCGGACAGCTCACGCAGGAATTCAGTCCTGTTGGAACTCTCAGGCACGGGAAGACTGTTGGATACGGCCCATGAGGTATTCACCTGGGATACCTTCGTGGCTTCTGCGTCGTAGAAGCAACCGGTTTCGATCTCGTCGTCCCGGATAGATAATGGAGCAGGGACCGCAAGGTAACCTGTCGGGAAGATGATGTCCTGATCATCATCTAAGCTATACTCTTCCATCTGAGGGTCAACCGAGCCATATTCAAGTAGTAGCCGTTCTTCCTCGGCTAGTTGGATATATTTCGTACACGGCCAGCCGTCAGGAGTGCTCTGTGTGCCGTCCTCATCTTCTTCGATGGTGAAGTACTCCGTGATAGGTTTGTATCCGTCGTCAACTTTATACCACGAGTCATTGAGGTTGCTGCGTTCATCCGCCAGCTGCTCGGGCGTGTATATATATGAGTAGAGGCGACGATCTATCAGGTGGCCAATGCGCTCCAATGTTGTTGGAAGATTAGTTCCAGACACCTTTGCCGCGGGTCGAGTAGGCGCTTCGGCACTGGCGGCCGCATGCAGATTGAATGAAATAAACCGGGTATATACGTTCAACTGAGACGTCGTGGACTTGAAAAAATCCAAGAACACGTCGATCATATCCGACAAGTAGAGGTTGTCGGAGCATTTGTATGGGCCGAGTTCATATAATTGCGAGCCCGAAGAGTCCGAAACTACCGTCGCGGTTCCATGCGCAGCGTCCACGGTCGTTGTCGACGAGGAGTTGGTCGTCGGCGTTGCGGTCGGCGTTGATGTCGATGAAAGGGTCACCACCGGCGTATCATCGGGAATAGAGACCGGACAAAGGTTCCAAGAGCGCCCTTCCACAGACCAGTATAGGTCGACAACCAATCGGCGATACCCTAGTTCAAGCAGGTTCGAAATGCATTTGCCCGCCGCGTCCCGGTCGAAGACGTTATTGCCGAAACACGCTGCGCGGAGGGATACGGCAGATGTGGTGACGAAATTCAGCGGGATTTGACCGGCCACATCTCTCTCGCTCTGATGCCGCATGATAGAGGTTAGCACCAGGATGCATCAGGATGCGCTACGGAGGATTAACATGACGGATGTGACGGATCAACTCACCAGAAAGACCGCTATCCAAGTCGCGTCTACAAGAGACGCCTCGGGTTCGTAGTTCAACGACATGGAGCAGTGAGCACCAAGCAGCGAGCGGACATTCCCAGAGGATTCACAGTTAGCGACATCGACATGGCCGAGGGGCGATCTGGCGCAGAGGCAGGAGCAGGTGGAAGCAGGCGGCGGCGCATCTGAAGAAATGCGGAGAAGACGAAGGCGGTGCGACCGGACTTTACCCGTTCGAGCGGGCAAACACCATCTGGCCACTTCTTTCGCTCCGCCGATCCCTTCGTCTTCCTCCCTCTCCCTCTGTCGATTTCTCGCTGGCTTCAAATTCTTGCATCTCTTATCCCAACTGACTCTCCACCCCCCTTCGGACTTGCCTTCTCTCTCTTTGTCATTACCGTTCTTTGTCTGAACTTTATTCACTCTCAGAACCACCTTCCCATCCCTGTTCACAATGGCGACACCCGGCCAGCCGTCGCCCCAGCAAATTGCGGCCATGCAGCAACAGTTTGCTGCTGAGGCTGCGAAGCGAGGATTGAGCCCCGAGGAGTTTGCCAAACAGCAGCGCGAACAGCTCAACGCCGAAGCCGCAAAGCACGGAATGTCCACCGAAGAATACGTCAACCAGTTGAGAATGCGGGCTATGGCCGCACACAGGCAACAAGTTGAAGCCCAACGACAAGCTCAAGCAGGCTCGCCGCAGCAACCAGGACAGCCAGCGCAAGGCCAACCCCAACCCCAGCAGCAACAGACCACACATCAAGTCCCCGTGAACCCGTCGAATCCTCCCGATCCCAAGGCTATTGCCGTCGCTCAGTTCCTGCGCTCTCAGAACCTGAAGACGAGAACATGTATCATGGACGGACAGCGCAAGGATATGTTCAAAGGTTTGAACCCTCCCAGGTCTATTCACCTCTCTCTCGGCTATCTCATTGCTCACTCTGATTCATCTCCGCAGTGAAACGTGCCATCCGCGCTCTTGAATCTCCCGCCTACGCCAAAGCCGCCGCCAAAAAGAACTCCATCCTCCCCCCCGTCACGGACCGTGCTTCGGCAGAGAACGTCTTCAAGCTTCTTCCCCTGTCGCTCCTTGCCTTGCGAGTCTCCAAGGTTGACCCCCACGCCGGCCACAACCACGCCAAGCCGAAGAACCGCACCAAGGGACTGTGGACCGTGAAGATCGAGCAGCACCAGGAAACCGACCCCATGATGCACTACGTCTTCCTCTACGAAGGGCCCCAGTGGAAGCAGAAGGCCATGGCCGCTGCCGTCGTGGCGGGTATCTTCGCTGTCGTCTTGTTCCCCTTGTGGCCGATGATGCTGAGACAGGGTGTCTGGTACCTCAGTGTCGGCATGATGGGTCTCCTGGGTCTGTTCTTCGCTATGGCTATCTTCCGTCTGATTCTGTTCTGCATCACCGTGTTTGCCGTACCTCCCGGTCTCTGGCTGTTCCCCAACCTGTTCGAGGATGTTGGTTTCTTCGACAGTTTCAAGCCTTTGTGGGGCTGGCAAGAAGTAAGTCGCGTATAGCCCACCTCTAGACAAACACTCCATATTAACCAATCTTGATAGAACAAGAAGAAGAAGTCCAAGAAATCCTCAGTTGACAACGCATCCACGCCTTCACCTGAGGCCCAGGGCTCCGCTCCCTCCGCGACTACAACCGCCACGCCTGCACCGCAGACGTCAGGCGTCGTGAAGCGTGATCTCGCGCCCCGAGTCGAAGAGGCCGCTGACGAGTAATGGAACCGCACATTTGCATCAATGAATCCCATATTATAACTACTAATGGGCTACTTCTCTGAGACTGTTTCCTGGAAGGTAGAAATACATACACTGGATGTTTTATTTTTATTTTCAACTTCATCATCCAGGTGCACTTTTTTTTTCGTTTTTCTTTATTTCTACCTCTTGTCTTATTCCCTTTTATGTTGTTGATTCTACTCGCGTTTTTTCAGGGCATGTCTTTATTCGGGTCATGGGTTTAAAATTCTCTGCAAGTAACATGATGAGCTTCTTGGTTGCAATGAAAGATATTTCTTTACTAGATATTATTTGTAACCGCATAGGACTGGCGTAGTAATAGGTCTGCTTGAACGCGATCCTCATTTCTCAGGCCAAACACAAGAGCTACAGAAACATACCTAAACTTCCCCAGAACACTACCTATTCTGCCTGGACATATCCCCAACCTGCAACCAAACGTCCTAACCTAGAAGGATGTTGACCATCGTCACAATAACTCGCGTTAGACCCACGGTAGTCGTAAACCCGAAATCAGACATCCGCTCTGCGCTTGATATCTCCTAGCCGTTTATCACAAGTTTTGACTCTTTGCCCTGCATGGAATAGAGTCACTTCTCATCTTGCTCGCCGGGCTTGAAAGGCCCGTAGTCCTCTTCGCGGCGGGCCTCGGCAGCTGCTCCCTCACACACAGAGAATCCTTGACGCTAAGCACCAGATTCCCATAATCGCTGTTGGAATCACTTTCAGGTGTAAGGCTGGGGTATGTGAGCTCTTTAGGTAGCTACAGCGCTAGTTATGAGTAAAGAGGATGGTAGAACTTTATTAGACATTAGATGAATTAGCTAGTAATCTCCCGACCGGAGTGGATGAAAGACTGTCTGTCCATTTTGAAGCCCCGTGCAGGGGTTGTCTTTCGAGACACTGCATATCAAACAGTCTTGATAATCATGATTGTGCCGGCCCAAGGCTCCCCTTTCCATGTGCCGAATAGCGCCCGTCCGGAACTTGTCTAAATTCCAATTCCAATCGTCATCTGGGTTTCGCCCCTTGGGGACCGCTTCGTCAGGATAAAAGTCTCGTCGATAAAATTTCACCTTTTGGGCGGCTTTAGGGGTACCGTGCGGCGGGATAGGGAAGATGTCCATTCGAGGACTGGGGAAACCGTCTCTGCGGTGGATTTGAAGGTATCCAGCGACTGTTTTATCACTCCTCTGATCCCATTTCACCAGCAGCACAGCGTTCACGTGAGGCTCCTCCCTCCAGCCACATATCCTTAACATCTAGGAGGTTGGGCCACGACTCGTGTCCTGTTTCGACCGCAACACAAGGGAAGCTCATATCACCACTGAAAACAAAACCACCGCCGTCTTTGTAGGCCTTCTCATACGGGGCTGAGAAGTTATGGTAGCCTATTTTCTTCTCATCGGTGCGTTTTGGGTATAGAGGTATAGGTAGCGGATATCGATTTATTACCGTTCTTTACCATGACCTGGAATTCGCGAAACTCATCCCAATTAAAAAATCCAGACATAGCCGCGGTGTGACTCTCATCATGCACCCAATCATTTACACACCCACGAAGAGGTGAAGGCATTCTAATAGATAATCGGCCTGCTATATGATCAAATGCAACGGTCGGACTGCGTTCTTCGACTTCGTTGTTATCACGGAGTCTTTTTGCGATCTCGTACCTATTCCACTTCCGGGGAAATTTCCAGTACTTCGTGGTAGGTAGGACCCTGGGCATCAATGATCCACTGTGTCAACTCGGACAACAACTTCGACTGCTCAGGGGTAAGAGGCGCTTTGTCAGTCTCACTTTCGCTTCCTGAAACAGAAGACATGATAGATAATGTTGATCTAAGCTCTGCTGGTTGAAAGAATGAGTGAGACGAGCAGTGCACGAAGTGGGTGATAACATGTGCTGACCTGACAAGTCTTAAGTCCATGGCTCATAACAGGCCCAATATGTCATATTGACAGGCATCCCATACCTTGGGTATACAGAAGTGGAAACAGCCAAGCCACCCAGTACTATTTCCGAAATTTGGTCAGCCATAAAAGTAGCTCTAGCTTTTGCCCAGTATTCTATCGAGTTACAGATTTTTCAATATGATTTGTATTAGCTGTCTGAATCCTGATTATTCCCGGCCATGTTGTCCGGCTCAATCTTTCATATTTTGCAAAGGTTTTAATCATACACTCGTCGATGCCCAGGTTCTCCTAAGTACATCAGTTGTCATAAGAGGGGACACAACTACAGATTTTGCTTCAAATTTCTATAATATCCTGTCCAACGATCTTTATCAGATATGGCGAATAATAAGACTTTTCAAATACTTGAAATTTAACATATACCATTCATCAGATATTCTAATATTTGGATATCTCTCATCTGATTCATAAATTGATATTTTTACTACAGAGCTTCGTACTAGAGCGAATGAACTTGAGGGTTTTCATGGTGTTAGGTATAGGCGGTCTTACAGTCTTTTTGATAAACTGCTACACAAGATGATCCTGTATCTTTGAGGTAATCCGCTGAATTATCTAGTAGGTAGATAGGAAGAGATGAAAAGGATAAAAAGGAGGAAGGAAGAACAAGCAAGAAAAAATAGGAACTGCCGTGGATCGAACACGGGGCCTATAGATAAATGCTTTCTTTGCAATCTACCGCTCTACCGCTGAGCTACAGCTCCAATTGGATGTCCTCTGGCTTCCCGTTTTGTTGTACTATCACCATTAATTGGTACGACAGGGTGTCGACATAGATGCCCGTTCAACTCTAGGATGGGGGACTTTATACAGCGAAGATTGTTTTTGATTTTGGTAGAGCCCTAAAATAAATCTGTTGTAAATTTATAATGGACCGCCACTCTACCGCTGAGTTACAGCTCCATTGCTTGGTTTTCAACCCTCTTTTTTCCTTCTAGATTCACCTTGGTACCTAGTTACTGCGCTAATCTTGCTTCCGCTGGTCCCTCGGCCCTGTGACGGTCTACAAAGGAGCTTAGTAAAAGACAAGTTTGTTCATGACTCGTAGTCAAGGAATTTTCCCATGGGGAGGGAAAGCAATCAGCAAAATGCTTGACATCTTATCTTTGATATCTAAACGCTAACTAACAGTATTTTGACTTTTAGTCATCTACTAGGACGGGAGTTGAGCTTACATGTATAAC